TTTCCAACCCAGCCATCAGCCCCCCTCGCTTGAAACAGCTTCCAGCGCGCCTGGTTGCCAATACTGATTATTAAGCAAGAAACCATCTCAGCTTCCGTCCTCATTTTGGTCCTCTAAAAACCTCTGCACAACCTGACATTTGGGAGGCAACTGCTTTTTCTTTTAGAAATAAAGGGCAAGTTAGAAATGGTCAATTGTTAGGATCTGATTCAAATTTTAGCATCACTTAAAATCTTGTTTAAGTCTGTAGGAAGGCCTCAATTTTCTGGACTTTTTTCAGTTTTAATAAGTTCTGCATGAGTCTAAAAGAAAATTGTGCTTTTTTTTTTTCTCCAGCCTTGTTAGAAAGATGGCCTACTAAGTGAAGATGGGATGGTTTTGATCACTTTATTATTTTGTTTTTCAAGAAGTTGCAACAGTTTTGAAAAAAAAAAACTGAATATCATATTGAATATCTAACAGAAAGTCAAATTTATCTTCCCTGTTTCCAGTTAATGGTATAAAATTCTTTCATTCCCTCGATCGTCTTGCACAATATTTTCGTCTAAATCCTAAATCATGTTATGTTTTAAAGAATAACACATTTTTGCCTAAAATGCTTTTTGCAAACTAGAATAAAATTTTAATGAGAGCAAAGATCCCATAATGTCAGTCAGTAAAGGTTCAAATGGTCAATCAACTGCAGAAACTGGATGACATGGGATACAGGTCTGCTCCCACATATTGCAACATGGATCTAAAGATGTTAGTATTAAAGCAGACTGTGACAAATAACAGTTATGAAAACATAACTGTTATTTGTCACAGTAAAATAACGCAATAACGCCAAATAACGCATAATGCATTTAACAGTTTATTTCTGTTGAAATGCATTATTGCTACTAAACTATCCAACTACTGCAAGAAGTTTTGCAAGAAGCTTTGACGTCAAGAAAGTATCAAAGCAGACTTATGGCTCATTCAAAAAGGGTGATTTAAATTACAATCACATCTGACTTTTCCTGGGAGTTAAAAACACACAACAGAAAGATAAGGTTTACTTTTTTATAATAATCAAGATTATGAAGATATGAATAAATTAATTAAAAGTAATTTTTTCATAAATTGATAAATTTCTACTCAAAGGATACAACAAATCAAGCTGAATTGTATCAGCAAAGCAAATAATAACTAGAACAAACAGCTATATTTAAAAATACTTTTATTTATTTGAACTTCAAAGGCAGCGATGTCCTGATCCATGGCTATGGGGGCTTGGAATGTTACCTTGCTTGCGGGGGAAGGAGCCTGAGCTTGAGCAAGATGTGGAGTGATGCCAGCTAGTGTGGTGCTCACCTCCATGCATTTGATCTAGGATTGAGAGGAAGGTTCGTTCTTAGGTTCGGTCTGATATCCAAAAACAAACCCTCTGATGTAAAACAGACTCGTGTTCTGATATGTAACTCATTATCGCCCCAGAGTTCAATGAGAGACAATGACCCACAAATGACTTAAAAATGTAGATTTGTCTCGTCACAAAAGTCCTGGTTAACCATTAAGATACCTTGTTTTGTCTCTTATAAGATTAGTTAACTGTAAATGGCTTTCTTGTTAGCTCAAAAATACAAAGACATTTTGGGATGTCATAAAAAAAATCATTTTTTGAAAGAGTTCTCATTTTGGCTAAACTGTGAGTTCATTGTGTCAAAATGATCAAATACAGATGGCCTGTTGATGTGCACAAAAAAAAAAACTAATACATGGTTAGGTGCAGCTTACATGGTTCTTACTTAAGTACTCGAACTCTGAACAGGACCCCAAGATACTTGAACTCGTCCACTAAGGCAGGAACTCTCCTCCAAGCTGAAGTGGAGAAGTCACTTTTTTCCAGTCAAGACCCATGGTTTCAGGCTGGAGGAGCTGATTATTATCCAAGCCACTTGGCTGCGATCTTCCCCAGTACCTGCTGTATTCTTGGCAGAAGGGAGCCAGCAGAACCACATCATCTGCAAAAAGCAGGGACGAGATACCACAGTTCCCAAACCAGACTCCCTCCATCCATTGGCTGCACATAGAAATCCTGTCCATAAAGGTTATGAACAAGACTGATGACAGAGGGCAGCCCTGTTGGAGTCAAACATGCATCGCAAACAAGTCGGACTTAATGCTGGAAATGTGGACCAAACACTGACTCTGCTTGTACGGAGACTCAATAATACCTAGTAAATGGCCCCTGACTACTCCTGAAGCACCCCCACAGGGCAACACGAGGAACACGTTTGAATGCCTTCTCCAGGACCACAAAACATACCGTATTTTCACGACCATAAGGCGCACCGTACTAAAAGGCGCAGTCTCAGTTGTGTGTGCCATTACTGAATTTAACACACACATAAGACGCACCGGACTATAGGGCGCAGGTTTTATATACAGGTACATGTCCTCTACTACGTTTAAATACCTCTACTGCATATTTAGAAATAGAGCGGGAGCAAAACTGAGTATGTTTGTGTTTTATTCATGTATTTATTACAAAGTATTAATCAAACCTGGGAGCTGCCCGTGAGACAGACACATCGCTGATGACACAGAGCGCTGTGATCACTCCTCTGGGAGCTGGCCGTGTGACAGACACATCGCTGATGACACAGAGCGCTGTGATCACTCCTCTGAAACAGTTTATTGACGCATAAATTAACTTAAAATGCAGAAATCTGCCGGCAGAATATGTTCGCTTTTATTATCCTGGTGCCTGCAGTTTAGATTATTTAGATGAAAAACACCTACCAGCTGCCGCGGTGAACCGCGAGTTTTGAATGGGATCCTACTGACAGCGCACCGCCGGTATGTGGGGGTCTGAGCGGCTCTGACAGAACTAATATTAGAAGGTGGGATTGTAATCTGGATGAACTGACTGCAATGATTAAGTTTTCAGGTGGACTTTCTCACTTAAAAAGATATTAAAACAACATATTCTCATTATCAGTTTGTATGAAATCGTACGAAAAGTTATGCACACTATTTCGTACACTTTGGACGTTTTTCCTCAAAAAACCAAATCAGTGCGCAGGCAGACAGACAAAAAAAGCAGATCCGCGGATGGACGTAAAACTGGGAAAAACAGTGCAATAATCACTTATTCATGTCTCTAACTATGTTGCTTGCTGTTTTATATCTTAGGGTTAGGGTCAGGGTTAGGGCTAATTGTATTTTCAATTCTATGTTCTTGAATGGTGCTTAAGATGCGCATGCACATACGATGAAAAAAACGTCCAAAACGTACGAAATTACGGTGCATAACTTTTCGTACGATTTCATACAAACTCATAATGAGAAAACACTGATTAAAACTACTTTATTCCCACTGATCACAGCAAATATAGCTGCAAGGCAAAGAAAGGATAGAGTAGCTCCGCCCAACGTGCGTCAGACACACTTTTGCACCGCACAGCCAGAGCAGCAAAGCTGCTTCAGCCGCGCGTCAGAACTAACTGGTACAAGCGGCAAAAATGAAGCAGCAGACGCGTGAACGTAGCCTTACTTTGAACGGGCGGTTCACACCGATGTCGAGCGGTTGAAATTCCTTTGTCAGGCCTCCCGGAATAACAGCAAGCACAGCGTTCATTTGTTTCACCATGTTTTTCACATCGGCTATGAGATGGGCACGCATGGAGTCACAGATTAACAGCGCACATTTTGAGGGGGAAAAAAGACGTTTATATGCGCCTTATTGTCATGAAAATACGGCATATGGACTGGTTGTGCAAAATCCCATGCACCGTCAATAACCTTGCAGAGTGTACAGTAGAGCTGGTCCACTGTTCTATAGCCAGGACAAAAACCACACTACTCCTCCTGTAGCCAAGGTTCAACAATTAGTCAGACTCTCCTCTCCAGGACCCTGGCATAGGCCTTAACCAGGGAGGGTAAAGGGTGTGATCCCTCTATAGCTGTGACACACCTTCCTGTCCCCCTTCTTATGCAGGGGAACCACCACCCCAGTCTGCCAATCTAGGGGCACTGTCACAGACCTCCAGGTGATGTTAAAGAGGCGGGTTAGCCACACCAGCCCGGCAAAATCCAGAGCTCTAAGGTACTCAGAGGGGGTTCTCATCCACCCACATTGCCACTGCGGAGTTTTCTGACCACCTTGGTGACTTCAGCCTGGGTGATGAATGAATCCAGCTGCAAGCACACCGGCTCTTCTTCCACCATGTTTACAATCTTCCTGTTATACGCCTTCTTTAAGCGAACTAGCAGAAGGTTATTTCATTTTTAGTGTGATTTATTTAAAAACTAAACCATTGAAAAAGAAAAATGCTTTAGTAGAACTTATGCCAATGCTACTCTATAAGAAATATGCTTTAAATGAGACAAGGTATATGAATGAGCATGTAGTCCCAGGGGTTGTGGACATGATAACTGGTTTGTGCTATATTTGCTGGATCTCAGCTTTTTGTTAAAGATTCACAAGACTAGACAAGGGATGATAAAGTTTGCTCATAAAAAAATAAAAGCAAGCAGCATGTGCACTGGTGAGGAGGCAGTAAACTCAGATCTGTTGGTTTACTTAATAAGTTACTGAAGACTCAAGCGTGAGTGACTGAGATACAATTAAACCAATAGATTTTAGATAGTACTTGAATGCTTTATACTGACAAAAGTGCAGAAACTACAGTTGTTGTCATTTAATGTGTTTTATTTTTCAGCTTGAGAAAAGGGCCAAAGAAATGTTGCATATACATTTGGCAACAAATGTTTCCAAATGTCTGTTGCCTATACAGACAGGCCATTACCTGTCTGAATACGCAGATCATATTCTAATGAACAACTTGTCCACAAGATAGTGGATTTAGTATATGCAAATGTGAATATTTACCACACTAAGTCATTTATTAAACCTGAAGCAGACTGTGGATGCAGTTTTTGCGTCTATATTTAACACATTTGAAATTTAGGTGGGAAAAAATTCTGTGGTTTTTTTGGCCACAAAGGAGGCCTTGTTACAGCAGCACATGATAGAGAGTGAGTCTGTGTGCAGAATAACATTAGATAGAAAAAATTATGTCTTCACAGACTGGCACAATTTAATATAGCAAGGCTCTATCTTCATGAAATTAAACTAAAACTAAAAACACAATGGCAAAAAAAATAAAAAATCTGGATAACCGGGACTATGAGGTTCTTAATGAATTTAATAATGGCAATAATGTGTTTTGGCAACATGTCATTTTTGTGTCAATGCAGAACTTTGCACACATCTACTTCCCGCTTTAGAATGTTAGTCCACATCAAAAAACGATATGTGGTATGAACATTCCCCCTACTGCTCTAGTTCTGACCTTGCTGCAGTTTTTAACAACGATATATCCTACTGTGCAGTCAAATTAGACCCCAATGAGAAAAAAAAGCATGCAGCCAAGATGGCCTAGGCTGTAGGAATGAAGAAATTCTTTGATTATGCAAACATTTTGTCCAGGCAAATGTCCAGGGGGCTGTTTCAGATGCTACTACAAATTAACATGCTGGATGTCGAGGGATTGTGTGGTTACCTGAAGTCTATGAATGTCAGGCTGGTTGGATTTACTGTCTGATTCTACAAAACACATTAGACTGATGGACATTAATAACTTAAAGAACATATGAGCAACGGCTTTGGTATACATTTTTATGGTCAGCATGCCAACATTGACTTTTCTGATAAAGACCCTCATTGGCTTTTTATTGTTGCCAATCTAAGCCCCACCTAGGCTATAATACTGCTGTCTAATCAGTTTCTTAATGTGCCACACCTGTGAAGATGATGAGTGATCTTTGTACAGTCAAATAGCTTTCTGATACAGATGTAGTTAGATTTGTGAACTACACTAACAAACACTGACACAAGTATTTTGTGTACATACTGTACAGAAGTCTTTAATCTTTGGATTTGGCTGTTAAAAATGAATATAAATTGATAATTTATCATTTTTGATGGATTATGCCACTTAAGGGCAGTAAATCCAGACCAAGCACAGCAGAGTGTAGTATATAGAAGACATGTATTGAGCAAGCTTGTTTTAGCCTGGAATGCACACCAGGCTAAATACATAAATAGTTTGAGAACTGTGTGCTGAAGTTGGCAGCACAAAAGATACAGCATTACAACAGGCAGCAGTTCTTTCTTCTCAATACTGGATATCGGCGATGACTGCACTGGTTAACGCTGTAGCCAACTAGTGTAATCACTAAAACTAAAGCTAATGCCAGCTTTTGTCAGTCAACATATCCTTAAAGCCTCTAATGCCCTTTCCTTCAACATCTGCCAAAGTCAAAGCATTCAGAGCACTGAGTCGTAACTGTTGTCTGTGCTCAGGTCAGCTCACAACTCCCACTCTGGTAATCACAATCCAATCAGGCAGCAGCATTTGCACTCATATCAATCCTGTAGGTGTGAAAGGTACTTGAATTCAGGACTCCCTACTTCAGGCATGCACACATTCTAAGCTTTCTATCACCATCAGAACGGCACGTAATAATAACCTCCCCCGAATATTGTCATCAGATTTAAATAGTTTTATGATTTCATAATCAAACAGTAGCATTTCCTCCTCAGTAGCCTCCAAGAGCTTGATGGGTCTGTTAATCACTCAATTATTGACGGTAAGTCAGGTGTGTGGAGGTAGGGGAAACCCCAAAAACATGCTGGACAGTCGGCCCTGAGAATCAGCATGGAAGGCTTCAAGCAATTTTGAATTCCATATTGATGAGAAATTTGGGATACAAAACAACAAATTGTGCCGAAAGGCCATGTGAAAGATTTTCATGCCTTGAAACTGAAACCTGAAAAAAAAACCTGAGTGAATAAATTAAAACAATTGCTTGGAAGTTTTTTTTAACAAGTTTTCTATTATTTCCAGACTAATATACAAAATTTTTACAAAGAATGAAATGGATCAAAATATCGTTCAGTCAGTTGAAAAACTGAATACCTGTCACATATTTCTTGACATCTTGGCCAAAGCTTCCCCTGACTCCCACAGATGATACCCTCATGGTTAAATGGGCTGTGACTCAGCGGTCACTGACACATACCTGCTTTCAGCAGAGTTGTTTGGCTCTGCCTTAATAAGTAACTACCTCCTCTGAATGCTGCCCACACAAAACACCACCAAGCACAGACAATATTCAGGGGTTATTTTTAGGGACTGGATTTTCAACTGTCTCACCTTTTTTTCCCACTGTTGTCTGTTATTACATACAAGCGAGAATACAAGGTGATGTGGACATCTGTATCATTTCTCAGACTTGTGAGTCATTTTCCAAACCTCAGTCTAAATCTCTTAATTGTTCTCTAAATATTGACACATTTCACCAATATCAGATGTACTCACCAGTATGTGGCTTTGCTTCCCTAAATCATTTAGTTAGAGTGATCAAACATATTAGCAGCATAATGGAGGATATTATTAGAGCTCTGAAATGGAAAATAAGGACCATAAATAGGAGATAACTCTATTTTGCTGTTGCTTGAAAGCAGGAGATGACACGTTATTGCTCGGTGACAGTCAAGCATTGCTTTATGAGCTATATAAACATGCGCAGTAGACGCAGCTACTGATCAGGCGACATGATAGCAAAATTATAAAGAGATGGAATGGTTTTTCTAGAGGTTTCCAGGCAGTCTTCTGGTAGCTATATTAATGGAACTATGCTCTCTTGATTTATTCTAATGACCTATTGTGGCTCAATGGTAGCAAAAAAAAAAAAAACATAATGACATAATGGAAAACTGATAGCAAACACTGGCTTAGAAAGAACCGTGAAAAACAGGAAAATGGGTTATACTATTTCCTAGAGGCTTTAATATAATTACAACTTCTTCAACTTGTTATCTATGCTGCAAATTAATGTTTTATTGTGTGCAACAGGTACTTCATGCATTATGCTTCTTTTTCTGTTTTGGCACTGACAACCATGTGTTACAGTTTTAACTAAGTGCATAACAAGAGGACAGGGTCCATCAAACATGATGCTTATTAAGATCAGAGCAGACTTATTACAGTTCAAGTTAAGAGCAGAACGGATGATGGCTTTGAACCACTTTCTCTCTGTCAGTTCCAGTTCCTGGGAAGGTTTTCCAGGATCCTTCGCCGGTGTGAGGGATTTGTTACACCTGCTGCACACAGATCCTCCTCAGTAATCCCGCTGCAATGGACAAATAACCCAGAGAAAATCATGTAGCATCAAGTAAAATACACACAAGATAAAAGTGACCATTAAGATAAAACATGGATTTACAACCTGTTTAAAGAAAACTTTGTTTTTTTTGTTTTTGTTTTTTCATAATAACAAATATTAATCTAAAAGACAAAATGAATTTTTTGGCAAAGGAATGCCAGAAAATGTTGATGAAGCATTTAGGAAAAAGGGAAGAAAAATAACCAGTCTAAAAAGTAGACATTTCAAAAAAATATTAAAACTAACAGAATGCAACATTAGAAAAGACATGAGAGCAACAATGAAAACACACCATAATATTAAGAAGCAAAGCTTTCAAAAATCCATTGTTAAAGTTGAAACAGGTTTGTATTTTCACATTGTTTAGTTTATCCATTTTTTGTTTTAATAATTGTTTTTATGAAACCCCAGAAAAAACTTTTACTACACTTTAGAATAACTTTTTTTTTATCTACAAATGAAACAGCAGAGATATGTACTTTTAATAAATGTAAAAACTGCCTGCCATAGCCCACTTTATATAAACCTACGCATTAACTGGAGCTACAATCTTCTCTTTCACCATCTTTCTCTCCTTTGTAGCTGTAGAACTGTTTTCTCTGTCTTTAAAACACAATCTCCTTTTTTAATGAATTTTTTTGCATTTCTGCGTTAAAATCTCTAGTTCCAGTGGGGTGAAATAGGCACTTCCTGTTGCCTGTTGTCATGGTGACTCGTCGAATTTGTGCTCCACTGATAATGGTTTTTCATACTTGTTGCAAACGTGCTTAACTATGAATGGGACTAGTTAAAATCAACTAAACTAATTGATAGCAGCCGTTGTGAAACCGAACACTCGACTTTAGGCTAGATCAATTTAGAGTTGCCAATTTGAATTTCAATTTGTAACACCTGCTTCATGACCCCATAACAATGAAGGCTTTATTAGCAGCTCTGTTGTGTTGAAAGATACGAAGGACTGTATCAAATTTTTTGTTTTTTTTTGCCAATTTTTACAGGGATTTAATAAACGCTAAAATGCGTCATCGGCATTTGAACAAAGTAAGATGTTACTTTCTGTTTATCCCACTGTTTTTTTTTTTGGTGTTGTTGTAGCTAATTTACACTGCTGGGATGTAATAACAATAAGTGTTACTTCAGTTAAAATGTTCATGGCCTATGTCTTGCATTATTACAAAACCTGTTACTTATGGTTAAAAAGTATATGATGTGCTTCTAAAAATGGTAGAGTGTTCCTTGTCTACACATGGAGAGGGATTGAAACCATTCAGAGAAATAGAAAGAAAAAGTGGAATGAGGTGAAGACATATTACCAGACAGTTCTGATAGTGTCTTTAAAAATGAGGAACAAAAAAATGCTGTAAGAAAATGTTGCTTTTATAAAGGCTAATAGGTAGTGATGCCATCTTCGTCAAGATTATATAGTTATATTTTTTTCACTTTTTTAATGTATTTAAATTGGCAACTTATGGGCAAATAAATGTAGTTAGATCAGCTTGATTCTATTGTTTTTTACCAATTGAAGCAATTAAGTGAAGGTGGAGCTGCATTCTCTTTTTAAAGGTATCTGCTTCTCCCTGGGCACGCAGTCTCTTAAAGTCTCATTAAAAACTAAGACATTCAATGTTTTATTTCTTGGAAAAAATTTTATTTTATTTTTTTATTGAAGTTTCTTGTGTTTAAGATGTGAAAGATTACAATCTAACACCAAGCTCCTCTTAGTTTGTATTTGCAAACATTTACAGATAGCGAGAGAGCCATTATTATTATTTTCAAAGATATCAGTCATTATTCTATGTATGTATTTAGAATTCTTTACCTGAAATAATCCAGATCATCCCAGCCATTGAGGCTAAGTCCCAAGGTGTACTTTTGAAGACCTAGGGTACTAAGAAGCTCCTGCACAGTTTCTGGAGCTCCTTTTAGGACAGACACCTGCATTTAGATGAATTTAAATTGTTTTAGAGAACCAGGAGTAGCATCATTTAGCGTCTGTGCTTCTGAGGAGGATCTTACCTCTTTATCCCAGAAGCAGCCTCTGTTTCCATGCACAGAGGGACCGTTTCCATAAATCGCCCTCTGCCTGACTGGGACTCTCTCCTCTGAAGGAAAGAAGTCAACCTCACTGAGGGACTTGGCAATTTGCAAAGCAGTGAGGGAGTTGTCCCCTGCTGAGGGCGGCTTATCAATGATCCAGGAAACAGAGTGCTGCCTATGGTCCAAGGGAGCAGGGATATATGGCAGGAGTGATGGGGACTTTGCATTGATAGCATTCGTTCTCACTGGAACAAAACTGTGTTTTTCGCTCCTGTCATTTTTCTTTAGAATGTCTGTGCGATTGATATACACGTTGCTTTTAGACTGCATGGATTCCTCCTCAACATTTTGTTGATCCTGGTATTTTTCTCTGCTTTGAGAAGTTTGTTGCTGGAACTGAGGAATGGGATCTTTTGAAGGAGGGGGCATTGATGGGCTTTGGGCTGGGAAGAGCTGATAGGATGAAATGCTTTGGGACGGGTGGAGGTCTTTTGTTAGATTGCACTGGGTAAGGTTGGCTGGAATTTCAATCTCTGTAAAGTCTGATCTGCGACAAGGTGTCCTGTCAAACCCTTGTCGCCCTGAGACTTTTGGAAGCTGCAGGGCCTCATTTCCAGACCAAATCATCTGAGGGTCCCTTTGCTGGGGAGGAGGCTTCTCCACTCGTTGTGTTACTGATACGCCTTCAAAAATGTAGTAGGCAGGGTTGGTGTAGCTGTTTGCTGCAGTTTTAACAGGAACTTCCAATGGCCTACAAAGCATAAACAGGAGTAAATGTTTACAAGATGAACAATTATTTTTTTTGCAATTGTTAGGAATTGTTTAGAAGAACAGCTGTTAGCCATCTTCATTCTGTTAAACAGCTTTCAAGCCAATGAGCGGACGCATGCAACTGTCATTTATGAATTCAATGTTTTTGGTCTATTCTGTCAAAGGCCATCTTTAGGTAAAAAAATACCAACAGCATATATTCTAATATCCAGACAATCTATTAATTTGTGTAAATTATTGCAAATTATGTTTAACTTTGGGCTCTAAATCGATACTGACTCTGATAGGATATTATATTTTTCAACATAACCACTCTGAGCACTCTGGTCGGTGGCACAAAAATTACAACATAAACAGAGAGCTACTTAAAGCTGACACCCGACCCATATGAAGAAACTTGGCAAATAGAATGAATGGTTAGTGTTTTGTTTGTGCAGTCATAAAGGTTGCTTATGTTGCTTTTCTTTCTGAGATATTAAACAATATTTTTAAGGTCATCCAAAGATCACCATCTCCCCATTAAGCTCCACATTGAACCAAACTGATTTAGTCTATTTTGTCAGTCAGATTTGTACAGTAAAAAAAAATGTTTGTGCTGCTTTGTTTTTTAAGATATAATAACGCCTACATGTGGGGTAAAGTGAGACTTCTTGTTTAAAGAAAACCTTTGTTGGTTTAATTTTATCGCCTGCTAAGCTATTTCAGAGCTCGAGTGAACATACAACAGTAAATGTAAATAACCTACTGTGAAGGTTTATTTTGAGAAGGCAGATTTAAAATGTTTCTTCTGCATGAATATGTTATTTTTGTATTTGTGTATTGTAATTTATGTGCAACTTTAGATTTTTGTCTGTTTGATTACATAAACAAAGTCAGGGCTTAAGGAGCCTTATCAAACTGTTTTGTAACCTCCATTAACTTACTCCACTATATTCAAATATGTTCTACATCTCGAAGTAGAAATATATATATATATATATATATATATATCCTCTTGCATGCTGTTTTTTCCATTTATTTTATTTAATGGTGGCCAGCTTAACTTCCAAATCCATTTTCAGTTCCAGTTACAGCCTATATTGAGAATTTATACCTTTATGGTGGTAAGAATAGTCCACTTCTCAGTGTCTTGGTTCTCATTGTTTTTTTTTATTTTTATTGAAGCTGTAGTTTATCACTGGTTTATCACTCAGTATCACTCAGCACTAGGCACTGACCAACAGTTTGATATTATAAAATGCTCATCAGAAAATATCCCACAGTTTATCTGTGATAAAATCTCACAAGAAGCTTCTTTCAACCCATACAAACTAGAACCTAAACACTCTTGGCATTTCCTGAGAAAATAAAAGGGGATTTCAGGCATGAAATTCTTCAAAAGTTCCTCAAAACTTTACAGATATATTTGGCTCCTCTCTAAGACAACACAGCAGTAAGACCAATAAAAACAGACAAAATGTTCTTAAAACTGAAATTATAAATGGTTAATGGCCATTATTTTTGATAAAAAAAAGGATAAAAGATGGTTGTTTGAAAAAAAATTAAACTGTCAGAGGAAATATTTTCCAAATCCTCTTTCAAGTTAACTATGAACAAACCTGTGGTTATATAGGGCTTTATAAACACCAATATCTAAAAAGAGAAGTCAAGTAAATGGAGCCAAGTAAATGGAGCAATGCCCCATTTACTTGGTTTCAAAAACAGTAATTGTCAGAAGTTAGGCTGCTCTTAATGCACTATAAAGCAGAACTTTATCTGGACCATATCTTGAAATGAGAAACTTAAACACGCAGGATACTGGCTAAATACTTAGCATTGATATTAATGACCAAATTATTGTCTGGTTTTTAAAACAATAGCAGCATGTTCACCAACGGAGGCTTTATAATAAAACAGTGTTTATTTATTATTTTTTTCTTCTCTTCTCTTTTTTTACAGTGACAGTTACTAAAACCAAGGTATTTGCATTCAAACTGAGTGGTTTTCTTATGGACTGTAAATACAAAGTACTGTTTTCAAATACTTTGTTTAAAATAAACACATTGTGTGTGAGAAAAATTAAATATCTCATTTAATCAGCTTATCTTTAAGTAGCCTTAGGTTAGGTATGCTAAATCACAGGTGTGCTTTACGTAGGTACAGTAGGCCACAATGAAAAGGCGCTTTTAAACAGCTGAGGGATAGACTCACAACTCACAGTTTAGAGTGAATTAATTATAAGAAAACTGCACTTTTTTTTTTTACACATGACATTTTATCAAATCCAAAGCTTTAGTGCTTTTTTACAGTATTGCATTAAAATAATTGGCACATGTAGATGCACATAAGTTATCTCAAGAAACATAGAATCAGACTAAAAACGTGTCATTTAAAAATACCAGTCTGAATTTTGTGATTGGATTTGTCAGGATTAGAATGGAAAGGTCATTGATGATTATTCCAACTGGCATGCATGTAAACGCTCATTAGGATCACGTAATTTTGTATGAGGCAAGCTGACTTGAGTGTGCATGTTAACTCCGTGTCAACATGTGGCTAGATTCTTTTAGAATATTCCATCTGACATGTTTACATGACACAGTTTTGACTGTGAAAGTACAACCTGATTATATTTTTGTTTTTAAATACAAATACATTTCAATCAGATCTTGAAGTTTTGTGCATGTAATAAAAGCTATTAGATGATGATGGTGATGATGGATGTGAGACACTCATACCTCGTTACTGGGATCCGTGTTACTGCAAGGGACACATTTCCCCTTCCGGGACCTTTATCATTTTTCTCAAGACAGAGCAAGTCTGAAAAAGCAAAGTTACACGACATGAAAATGACATTTTGCACTGATCAAAACTTTTTAAAAGTCTGTGTTCCTTGCATGCAAAAGACTACTGCCAGTTTGCATTTGCTCAGCAAAGTTTTGTTTGTGTGTGTGTTATGCCTGACCTGGTGGCCTAATACTCAGTGTCTCAGGATGCATCTGGTCAGCATCAGTCAGTCAGGAGCCAAAAGAGGAAGTACTCGATAGATACCAGCAAGAGTGTAAAGCCAAGCCATGGGATCATTGAGGAACCAAATAGAGGAAGCAATGTGAGGCACACAGGAAAGTTAAGGAATGCAGTGAGAGTGGAGATGAGGTTTTAGAGGGAAGTGATAGTGCAAGCAAGGCACAGTTCCAGAATACAAGTTTTTCGGCTGACCCACCATAAATCTTCTTTCGGATTGCTCGCCTGTCCTTGGGCACATGAACTCTGACCCGTCCTCGGATGGAGCCCATCTCCTCGCCCCGATGACTCAAAAAAGTCTCAAATTTCTGTGATGCACCCATCACTGTCTGTAGAGCCACACAGCATTCGCCTAGGGAAATCATTTTAATAAAAAATTAGTGAAAGTTGTTGAAAAATGAACAGATTTTTTTCCACATTCAGTTATATGCATTTTTGTAAACTACACCATCAAACCTTTAGTACAGAGCTGTCAAAACATACTTGCATTTTTACTACTTTTGATTTTTTTTTAATCAGCCCAAATGGATCATTTTCTTTGAAAGGCTGACCTCTCAAATAGAGGCACTATATACAGTATATATCCATTCCAACGGCCAATCCTACTAAAAAATGTTAACATAATACTTTGCACCAGTAGCTGAAGTGAGCGTAAACTGCACAGAAACAACTTGTTGTCTGGGTTTCTTTGGGTTTCAGATAGTAAATATCAGCCATTTTCACAGAAAAGGCTTTGCACTGACCGTATGATTCAAATCCATCGCATGACTTCACAGATAACAGCAAGTGCTGATCCTGGAGGTACTCCAGATCAGACAAGACTGGAATGAGCTTTAACAGATTAAATAAAACCAAAATTAGAAGAAGAAAAAAAAAAAATTCTTAACCATTTTTTTTTCTTTCAAAAGGAGTAGCTTACCTTCGGAAGCTGTTTGCTGGTCCAGCCCAGTTTGAGAAACCCCGGAATGTTACAGCTTTGCAAATTATTTTCACTGGAGCGTTGCGTCTCTGCAAGCCAAGTTAGGAGTTAAGTCTCTATAACTGTGTTGTTTTTATGCTACACATTCTCATTCTGACAAGACAACACACCTTCAAGGCAGGAGGAGTGAAACTCGATGAAGAACTTTGCCTTGCTTGCCGTCTTCACTATGGTGTCAATTTCCTCCAGCTCAATCCAGGCCCTTTCCACACTGGAATTCACATCTGTTTCATCAACAACACAAACACACACATGCATAGTTGTTGATTTCACTGATTTATGCCACCAGGTTCCAGCAATTTATAATCAAAGGTTTTACAATAACACAGGCACCTGATTTGTTGCAGCACTGAGATGTCACTCCCACTTGGAAAGTAGCAAAAACAGGCGAATGATCACTTGTAAATATGTCATCAGTGCAACCTAGTAACAACAAACAGTTTATTTAGTTATATTATTGTTACAAAATCAGCTCAACAGCTTAAATACTCAGTGGCTAGCAGCATGCTTAGGCACACTAGCTCTCAGTGTATCAGAACTTTAAAAAGGCTGTTAATATCCCTTCAAACATCATCCTAGAATCTAAAACTTCCATTTATGGTTATGTTGTTTTCTTTTAACGAATGAATGAATAAATAAATATTTTACTTGCCTAGAAGTGAAATATAAATACCAAGTAAGGTTTCTTTTGTAAAGTACAATGAATATGATGAATGGTTTTCAGTAATTATTCAAACAGAATTAACGAAAAGCCAGCATAACCAGACAACTTCCAATTTTTCTTAAGTTATACAGTACAAGGATCTTCAAAGCTTCAAGCATTTCAAAGAGCACTGCTAAATCTATAATTCATAAATGAAGTTTATGGCTAAACTGCAAGACAGTAAAGACAAGGCCAGTCAATGAAAAGCATCCAAGAAAACCATGATAACTCTGGAGAAGCTGCCCAGGGGTCCGTTTCACAGATTTAACAAATCTGGACTACAATCCTGAACTCTGAGTTGATCTAGCCTAAGGTTGGAAACTCTGGGTTTTTGGTTTCACAATAGCTGCTGGTGAGTAGTTCCACTCAGAGTTAAGCACGTGCTTAACAAGTATGAAAAGCCCTCATCAGAGGATCCACGATTCGACGAGCCACCATGACAACAGGCAACCGGAAGTGCCTATTTCACACAACTGGAACTAGAGATTTTAATGAAGAAACAGAAAAATAAAGCACAATGTGGTTAAAAGACTGAGCAACAGCGCTACAGCTGCAAAGCAGAGGGAGATGGTGAAGGAAAAGGCTGTTGCTAAGGTTAATGTGAAGGTTTTTATGAAGCACTCTATTACTAGCCTCGTGAGACCATCCTGATCTCGCGAGCTTTCAAGATTTCACTTGCTAATCAGTCTGGAGACTCTCCGTTGAAGAAAATTTGGAGCCGTTCACCAAACGAACATCCAATCAGCGTTGGCTTTGAGGCGGGTTGAGGTGTGACGCAACGAGAAGCGCGACAGTTCAGTCTAAAGAACATGCCGGCTTCAGCCGATGAAACTAGCGTTAGCGTGGCTATCGAGCAAGTTTTATCGGAATTACAGAGTATTTCTTCACTGAAAGAAGAGCAAATCACTGCTCTGGAGGCTTTTCTCAGAGGAAAAGATGTTTTTGCTCTTCTCCCGACTGGTTTCGGCAAGAGTAGCCTGGCTGTTAGTACGTCATATGCTTCGTTGATCTGATTGGTTTATTTGGTCCGTCTATCACCAACATAGGCCAATCAGCTAACCAGTATTTTCGACCCTTCCCAAAATTACTTCAACGGAAGGTTTCCAGATGGATATGCGGAGCAAATCCATCTGGCGGAGTCTGGTTACTCTTTTACAGGCTGTTTTTACATTTATTTAAAGCATTCTCCTCTCTGTTGTTCAATTTATAGATCACTGAAATAGGATATTTCCTGGCCAAAATTCCATTCCCATTCAGAAATTAAATAATGCATTTTCTAAATTACATGTTTGGAGCAGAAACTGAATTTCTGAAAGTAAAACAACAAAATTAAAGTAGTAAAAATTAAGCTTTATATACCTAGAAATGTTTACATATTTTAAGTGGCAGTTTTGAAATTTATCGGCTTGACTGAATATTTATTTCTGATATCTGAAATAAATTTCTTCCTAATCAAAATACTGCAAATGCATCAAGAATATTTATTCTAGATGTGAAGAATGTCATTTTGTTTGAAATGGTAATTTTTACCAGGAATTTTTCTTCTTTTTTTTTCAGATATCAGGAAATTCAGTCAAACTAAAACATATCAAAACGGATTCTATGTCTCTATGTCAACCTGAAAACTCAGATCCCCGATTTCAGGTTCAGTAAACCTGCTTTGTGAAGCCAAGAACCCAGAACCACAAGTTATTAAGGAAAATCGACCAACTATTAGTCAAGGACTCCATCAATCTGAGACAATTGAAAAAGTTACAAGAATGTTCATTATTTCGAAGAAACTAAAATTGAAGTACTTAGATGGAAGCATATTTATGTGTCAGAATGACCAGACAACTTCAATTAAGAAGCTGTGGCAAGATTGGAAAATCCCCATCTATAGATACTGTTATTTTCTGTATAAGGGAGCTCAGGCTACTTTGAAAAATGTACAAATACTTATGCAATGCACTGTATTTCAACACAGTTTTTACGTCATAGAAAAAGAGAACCGGTTGGTCTAAACAGAAACAAAAGCATTAGACAGTGTTGGAGATGATTCTGCCTTTTTGAACCACAAACCAGTTTAATCATCATTCAAGTTACTACAATTACTTTCCCTTTTAAAACAAAAAGTGCCAGTAACCTTCTACCTCGCAAATGCTTCTTGTAACTCTTAAACATTTTGACTTAAGCTCACATTCATTTTGTTTTCCTTTTGTGGGTTTCTCATAAAAGACTTATTTTTCTAGGAAATTCTTCGGCTCTCACCATATGCTGTGCAGATGATGTGCGTTTCTGGGTAGGACTTCCACAGAATCCGGTCACACCATGATGGAACATTAACTCTCACCTACAGGGAGAGAATGCAGCATGTAAACAGAGAGAGTGAGAGACACGAAGACAGAGACACTGACAAAGAGACAGAAAGACAGAGAGCGCATGAAGGTACCCCTTCCTTCCAGTTACGACAGGCATTCCTCATTTAGACAAGAGGTTTATTCTTAACCTGCTTTTTTTAGCAAACCGAGCAGCTGCTTTCAAAGTCACTTATCCCCACAAATTCCTGAAATAGGATTAAGTAACAAATAAATAATCTTAAGAAGTGTATACTTGGAAAGGAGCAGTTGTGTTTCAGCTTTCTAGACTCAAGCTTACTGATTTGAAGGTGAAGGGATCAAGCCTAAGTTCTTGCAAGCTTGTGGTGTTTTGGCATTTGACTGAGCTTTTTAAGCTTATGTGCTGCTTGGAATTCTTCCTTTAGCTTATCCGGTGCTCAGATCAAAGCTTTCAAACAAGTTTCAATCTGTAGATCCTGAAGCTAAACTCCATGTTAAGCAGGTTTTTGCCCACCGATTACAAACTGCATAGTTTATATTCATAGCAAATAGGAAGACGGCCTACAATGATCACTGTAATATGTCAGTTGCTTAGTTCTAGAATGGAAAGACTGGTGTAGTCCTTTCATCTCCATGTTTGTAGATTAGCATGCCTTATACTTCTTCTAAAACGCATTTTTTGCAACAGTTTGCAAATCCATTTTTATTTCGTTTTTTTTTTTTTTTTTGTTCTATGCATCATCATTCTTTCGATTAAAATCTAAGCCGCAAAGACTCACTCCTGATGTCTTGTACTTCTGCCAAAGGTAGCAGTCTCTGGAGCCTCTCTCATATCGATAGGTGGGTGGAAATGCAATCTTCTCCTCCTCTTAATCACAAAAAGCAAAGAAAGCAAAGTTAAATTCTTCATTATTAGAGATTTTTTGAAAAACAACTGCAATTTTACATCTGTTTTGTAATTGGAACTCACTGAAATTGAAAAAGGCCTTCCTTTTTTGTCTTTCTCGAGTCAGCTGGTCTGCAAACATGAGTTCTTCAAATTCTCTTTTGGAAACATGTTTCAGGATGTCCTGGATACAATATAGACCACAAAGATATTGGATATTCACTGTGTATTGATATCTTAAAAAACAGAAAGAAACTGTGGGCAGAACATTACACAAAACCTGTTTCTTTAAAAGCAAATTAGCTAAACTGTTTTGCAAAGGTTTATTCCAGGCTACTCTGAAAATGATGTCATCTTGAACACAGTGTGTCCAAGCCAGTGTGTCTAAGCCTCTAGAAAATATTTTCAGGGCTCCGTAAAGAGGTCCTTGTCTACACTCTCAATAAACATTTTGATAATAAAATGCTGCAAATTAATTCATGCAGATGACAGAACTGTTTATGTTTCAGCTCCATTTTTCCACACTTTAAGTTTGTGTTGGATATGGAATAAACTAAGTTGATAATATTCTTGAATTGCAAAGAAAAAAAATTTTTTTTAAAACTTCTTCAGGTCTAAAACAAATAAAAAAATAAACCAATAAGATCTTTCAAGTGCTTGAATTAAGAAAACAAAATGTGGCTTTCAGAAACGAAACAGTAAAAAAAACTTCTTTCTAAATTTAAACATGAATAGTTTCACTTTGAAGCAGAACATTTAACCTCAAGGTGGGGTAACTGTTTCACTTGAGCATTACTCATACATTAAGTAAGCTAAAAGGGATGATGAATTAAGATTTTTAAGGAACTATTTTGTTTGTGGAACCTTTTACACCCTTCTGAATGAATCGACGAGGGATTGGTGGAGCAGTATGAGATTTAACCCTGGATTATGAAAAGTTTTTCTTCAAGCAATGTTAAAATAGAATAGAATAGAATAGAATAGAATAGAATAGAATAGAATAGAATAGAATAGAATAGAATAGAATAGAAGATCCCTTTATTGTCCCACATTGGGGAAATTCTGGTGTTTACAGCAGCAAGAGGATTATAGAAAAAATAAATAGAAAAATGTATAAGAATAACATAATAGTGAAGAGTTAAAAGATAAACAATAAAATACTATATTGTAAAGTGTTTTAACAATATATACAGTATACTGTGCGCCTGGAAAATAAATAACCAATATACAGCTATGGACATTTTTACAGTAATGGACATTTGAAAAAGTTAATTTAATCCTTGTAAATGTTAAGTGAACCATTGTTTTTCATATCAAACTAGATTTTATATCAAACTATATGTCACATAAAAATTTAAGTATATGTATGTGAAAGCTGTCACCACTATTGCATTCCCTCTTATAAAATAGGACCTTTAATTGTCTAAATGAGGCCATGGTCATTTTAATCTAATATATTATATGTTGATTTTTTGGGGTTGTTTATATATATATATATATATATATATATATATATATACATATTGCGTCCTCTGGCGTGGGAGTTGGCTCGCGGCTCGTCTGCCTGGCTGTGTGTTTCCTGGACTTTTACAGCTGCTTTTTGTATCTCTACTTCTGTCTCCTTGAACCCCAGTCGGCCTCGGCAGATGGCCGCTCACACTGAGCCTGGTTCTGCTGGAGGTTTCTTCCTGTTGAAAGGGAGTTTTTCCTCCCCACTGTCACTGCAAGCATGGTTAGTCTGAGGGATTGTATTTGAGTCAATGAGTTGATGCAATCAACGTGTTTTCCTTAGATAGAAAACTTTGAATCAATTTGACTGTATGATCTGGTGAACTGTAAAGTGCCTTGAGATGACATGTGGTGTGAATTGGTGCTATATAAATAAACTGAATTGAATTGAATATTCATATATAGCTTATATATGGATGAATATGAAACATAGGTAAGTCTGACCTGTACATCTAGATCAAGTCTGTAGTTGAGATCTCCACACCAGAAGAGATGGGTGAACCTCAGGCTTATATCAAAGGCAGAGAGCTGTTTATCACCCAGGGAGAGCAGTCTGAGGATGTCCACAAAGTTCTGATTCCTCCTGAATATGACAATAAAACAATGTAAAATCAATAACATAAACAACATTGGTAAATGCATCTCATAGTGATTTATGAACCTTAGAACTTTGTCACTTCCAGAGGTGAGGTGGGAGTTAACAAACCCAAAAGATGTTCCATTAAAGAAGAAGGAGACTCCCACTCCTCCCTTGTTTCCTGAAAAGACCAATATTGTTAAATCTTAACTTAAAAACAGAATTGCATTTGCTTTGTGAGATGGAGAGGATGCAAATAATCCTACCTAGGGTGTTTCCAAGACCGGTTTTCACACTGGCTGTGCTCACATGAGTAATGCGACTCTCATGCTCAGGCTTTACAAAGACCGCCAACCTCATATTGCAGAGGGACTGCACTGCCACCTTGTGGACAAAAGATTATATTACAACACATTTTCTTTTTTCTGCAAGCATGACAAAAATCTAATTTCTTTTTATCTCAGATGCATTCCGTGATATTTTCTATCCTTTAAATCAGAAACACAGAATTATATTTTTTAAACATAAAAGAGTCACTTTTTGTTAAAAATTATATTTCTGCCTTAATAACCTCCTCATGATGCTGGTTACTCCTGGTGAAAATGGACAAAATTACCTGTTGAGAGAATCATGCATTTCCACCTCTGCTTTTAAAAACAACTTATGTCAATAATGTGACTTCTTTTTTGTGAAGTTTATATAGATCCTAACATACACAGCACATATAGTAATATAAATGTTTCTTAACCAAGACTTTTCAAGTTTTAGATCAGTTAGAAATAGCAGTAATAACTGTAGAGAAACAGCTTAATTTGTTTGCACTGAATTTTCAGTTTTTCAAATATGAGAAATTAAGTTTTGCATATAAGAATAATAATTTAAAACAACTCCAAAAACCACTGCAGTTAAAATCTTTAACATTATTGAATACGTTTTTAGCACTGATATCTTAAGCTTTAAGCCATTTTGTTTTAAACATGTGAATGTTTTAACTGCTGCGCTTTTCGCTTGCGCAAATTCTAAGTCATCCTGGTCATGATGACCACAAAACTGGCATAAATTGGAAGCAACCAGACTTTCGCTTTAATCAGCTTTAAGCCTGTTGTGTGGTTTCATGCTTTCGATAACCAACTGGAGTTGGATTAAAGGTAAAGGTTCAGTGTTCTTTTGATGTTCAGTTGTAACAATACAAACTGCTGCTAAAGAGTTGTTGCAAGATAATGACAGAAAAGCTTTTTATTTTATTTCTTAAGTAGGTTTAGATTTACTAGTTAGATTTAGTTTACCGTTAGTCAGGTTTTGTAACTGTTAGAGGGTGGCAAAGTGTTTAGAGAGCAGCACATTTGCATCCTGAAGTGCCTCCAGAGGTTGGAGGTTTAAGTGCTGTGCAAACAGGGCAGTAAGGATGGAGGTAGTAACAGGAAGCAGGAGGTTTCTTCTCAATAGTTTATTTAGCATAGGGACCTCCAAACATTCCTGTCTGGTGCATAGGAGCTGTAAAGTTTCCCACAATCCTTTGCTCAAAGGGGCAGAATAGGCTCAGCCCACCTCACAGAGTTTAACAAAAATATATTATTTCTTCATGTGAACTCTTAGTGACACAAATTAGGTTGAAAAGATGTGAATATGATTACTAGTTTGAAGTCGATTTGAGTGTAGCTGCGTAGAGTTGCTTTGATATGCTCTGTCCACTCTTTCTCCCCCTGAGGGTTTTCCTGAGTCCCTAAGGCATAGATGTCATGTGGAATAAAAGCGGTGGACTCATCAGGGGTGTGTCCCAAACCACAGCAGGTCACCCATGACTGCAGGCTTCGAGGAGGAGGAGAACCACCTGCACATACAAAAATATGCTTATTGAGCTTTTGTATCAGAGGCCAGTGAAAATCAGCGTCCGAACAGAATGGATTACCCATATTCCAGGTGCCAACAAACACAGAGACCACATCAGGTTGCTCCAGCTGAGAGTGCCTGGACTTCATCAGCAGGAAGAGTTGGCAGAACGAGTCACATTTCTGAGGGGGATGAAACGAAAAACATGTAAGGGAAGCAGCTAATTTAATTGAAAGGTTAATCTGATAATCCTGCCTTACTCGAGCGCTCTCAAATGTCATCTCCCGCGGTGTGCTGAGGTAGCTGTCAACAACCATACGGATCTTGGCTGGGTAGTTTTGGAACTTGACAATCTGAAGAACTAATACAATAGTAATATACAGTTTTACTAAAAGAAAAAAAAATCACTCTAAATTACTGGTATAACATTAAAAATATCTACAACATGCATGTTAGTTGCTGTTTTTGATTATACCTCAGCAACTGTAGAGAAATCCTGCCTACATGAAGGTAAATCTGTGTCGTACTATGAACACCTGACCTCTAAACACCAGTAAAACATTTAATGTTAAAAATAATAGGTGTAACATTGTAAAATGTGATGCAAGGAGTTAATGTTACAGGTTAAAAAAATGAGAGATTATCTTACTTCTGTTATGAGAGACTCTCTCGATGCCAAATGAGCCCACCTTCTTGTCAAATAACAGGATTCCTGTGTCAACATCCACAGAAACAGTTTGTCTACCGTACCTCACCATCTTCACCTGGAGACAAAATGTCAGGCGCCATTTATTGCCTTTATTTTGAAGTATTTTATTTCAAGAGATTAAACTATTGATCAGATTATTGTGAGATAGAATGTTTCCATGATTGTCAGTGGAAAGAAATAGGGAACATCCGTTAATCTCATTAGTTGCTCAGTAAAATCAGAGGGAATTTGGCCTAAAAGTAGGCCTTTTATGCTCCTAGGAACAATTTTCAGCCATAACAAGATCAGGGTTTTGTCTGGGCCATTGTAACACCTTCATATAGATTTTTTTTTTTTTTTTCAGACATTATTTATATACAGGCAAAAACAGAAACTTTACATTTTATATTTTCAAACACTCAATGTCCTTTCTCTACTGTATTGGTGCCAGAATGGAATAAAAAAAATATTGAATTTCCTGTTTCTTTCCTCAAATCTAGATGTCATGACCCTGCCCTTTGTGGATATTTTTGTTTCTGTTTAAGTTCCTGTTTGAGTTTTCATAAAAAATTGTATTTATGTCATTCTGTGTTTTCTTGGTAATTGTTTCATTTCAATTTTCTGTTATTTTAGTTGTTTTCTAGTTCTATTTTAGCAATGTTTATTTTTTGTGTTGCTCTCTGTTGCCCCCTTGTGCCAGTCTCCTTTCCCCTAGCTTCTAACCACACCTGCTCCCCATCAGCTGATACCCCAGTCTTTATTCTGTCTCCCATATATACTCTTGCATTAAAAGAACTGTGTTATTCACTAGGTCCATTACACACATCAGGTTTAAAAAATAAAAAAAAACCTTGCATGTACGTTTGACAAGGATCTTATAAAAGAATGATCAGCACTTTTTTACAGAAAATTAACTATTTATAGGGAGATAATTCTAGAATTCAGCTGACAGGATATGTGATTACTTGTTTTTTGGTTTGTTTAATATGAGCAAGATGCGGATCATTTTATTTTTATTTAGTTATATTTACAGTGCATGAAAAACTACTGCAATTATTTTCAGATTACACATAAATGGATTAATTAATTCTGCAGGGGGAAAAGGAATTACTTTAGGGCTAGGATTAGGATTCACTCGATGATAACAAGCTAAGTCATTCTATGGGACTGATAGCTGCTCACAACAACCATTTATTGGGATGATAACATCCGAAGCGTGACTGCAAACACCCACTTAGTTGTTACTTTTGTAAAAGAAGACTGAATCAACATGAGAAGGGACCCATGAGAGGATGCACAGGTTCTATATATTACATCAACATTTTTAGATTTCATCTTCACCTGCTGCCAGAAGATTTCACCTAAATAGATACATTTATCTTCTATCATTCAAGAAATAATCCTGTAAAATTTTCATGGTAACAACATCTATGGCAAGCCATTTTGATATGTACTAGTTTTACAGAATATGTATTCCTGATATCTTAAAAAAAAATTCTTTGGCTAAATGACCATTTCAAACAAAGTTACACTTTCCACATCTTGAATAAACATTCTGGATATAAAAATTTATTTCAGATCTCCAAATGGCTAATATTACTGGTCAGCATTTGCTTTATTTTAACTATGAGCATTTTTTTCAGATATCATAAATACATTTTCAGGCAAGCTGAGAAATGTCAGAACAGCCAATTAAAATGTGTTAACATTTTTAGATATATAAAACTTAATTCTTACTAGTATAATTTAGTTTTTTTTATTTTCTAAAATTCATTTTTATGCTATAAAAATTTTACTTAAATATATTATTACAGTTAGTCTTGGAGTGTGATTTTGATCAGGTAGAATCTTATTTTAGTGATATCCAAATGGAACAACAGAGAGGAGTGCTTCTAATAAATGTAAAAAGGGCCTGCCGCTTCATAAAAACTTACACATTAACTCAATTAACAATCTTCTACTTCGCTACCTTCCTCTCCTTTGTAGCTGTAGCTTTGTCTCTCTGTCTTTTAAACACATTCTCCTTTTTTATTTCATTTTTTAACTTAAAATAGGACCACTTAACTCTGAGTGGACCAGTTTAAAATTGATTGAACTAATTGATAGCAGCCGTTGTGAAACCGAACACTCAGAGTTCCCGACTTTTGGCTAGATCAATTTAAAGTTGCAGATTTTAATCCGAATTTGTTAAAAGTGCTTCATGAAATGGACCCCTGGCATCACCTGGTTTTGATTAGTTGTTTATTGTTCCAGGATTTGTGTTTCTATTGCCATCTACATCCATTAATTCTTCAAGAACTCATCTCTGCATTTGGATCCTCAATCAACTTCTACTAAACCTGACACTAGAAGTTTGAATGCAGTCAAATAAATCTGCATTCAAACCATTTGAGACATCTCAGATGATTACGACGATGTCTTAGCTTTGTAAGCTTTTGATTGGACCATTATATAGACTTAAAAAAAAAAACTAAACAGCTACCAGCTATGGACCTATGAGTCTGGTTTATCTTTTGGTTATTGCTGTAGAGGAAACTGTACATCAACTGTAAAGCTGGTGGGCTGCCATCAAGATGCGGCAGGCGCCGCCTAGAGTGTCCCAGACGCTGCAGCCGCGGAAAACAGAGAACAAACAGGAGTCCGAAGCCAGGTCAGGCAAACAGATCAGAACAAGCAGGCTCAGTGGTTGGGAGGCAGAGTAATTAAGCCAATCGTCAGCGCCAAGATCATGAAAAATACCTACAGTATCAGAACTTTGGCTCCAAGTTCAATTCTAAAATCCAAACATTAATCCTTTCAATCCTATAGTGATTTAAGGTCATGTATATTAACCATAAAATTGCCTGAATATAGGTATATGGCATGGACTACTTTTTCTTCCGCCAAGTAAGTACGTAATGCGTCAGCAGCTAAGTTAAGCACAGCTGGCTGCAGTTACTCACTCCCCTACAGAAGCTCCACATATAACCAAGATGTAGAGAAAACAGTGAGAAGTTGTTGAAACGTAACAGCTTCATGAAACACCTCAGGTTGAACCACAACACACACTGTAGTATGCAGGGATAATGATGAGGAGAGGAGAAGAGGAGGGCACCGTCTCATGTGCTACTGCTGCTACCACGGCAACACACATCTCTAGGGGAGTCCTTCAGTGCTCCAGGCAGGTACCAGCTATATACAGAGGGAGAGACTTTAAACAGCCCAAAGCACTGTGTCAGTTAGAGGTGCTCATATTATATCATATAAGTTAAAAAAGTTTTTTTTTTAAATGAATTCAGCTTGATGTAATGTGTATTATTGTGGTCATATTACTCTTGAAGAGTACTGATGAAAGAGAGCTGAAAATATACGTATGCACTCTGATTTTCACCTAAATAAAAATATTTGTGGCTGTAAAAAACAATATTTCATAGCCTGTGAATAATTTTAATAATATATGTTTAAAAAAATAAGTGAAAAACAATATAGAAAATAAAAAATGAAAAAAAAAAATCAACCAGTACAAACATCCTTATTAAAGCCAAGAGAGAAAAGATGAGACTTTAAAGGTCTCTGCAGATGTTTTCCCTTCTCTGCATAGTGTTTCCCTGCAGCCTTATAAACAAAACCAATAAGACGGCATAACTGGAGATGGTCAAAACTGCAAGGGATTTATTTTTGAGAGCATTTCATTAGGAAAACCTGACCTCCGTTTTCCTTCTAAGCAACCAATAAAGTCTATTCTTTTGGTTTTTCTATTTAGTCAGAAACTGTAGTTAAATGCAAGAAAGTGTTGGTGTTTTTTTAAGCCAGATTTACCTGAAAGGAGTGGACAGGCAGCTGTCTGGTGTTGCTCTTTGCAGGAGCTGCAGTGTTGGGTGCTGAATCAGGAGGTGGTGGGCTGGGCTGCATTGCCAGGTTGTGATTTGTCACAGCATCTTGTAATGCTTGTAAAACCTACAAATGGAAACAATAAAGAAGTGTTTCACTCACAGACATATTGGACTTTATATGGAACAATAGTTTTCTTTGGTGTTTCTACACCCATAATCAGGTTCTAAATTCATACCACCACTAAAGATTAACTAGTTGTTGCTTTATCCTAAATTGTGTGAGTATAAAATGCAACCAGAAACCATGATACATATGATTTTTTTCTGTATTTATTTTTAGTTTGTTAATACTGTTAACATACCTTTTTCTCCAACGAAGAAAGGAGGCTGATCAGAGCTGAGATTTTGCACAACAAGCTTTCAATCTCCTTCTCTGGACCCTTGTTCCCAAAACACAAAATCAAATCCACACTGAGTTTGTGTCTGATTTCCTTAAGGAGCTGGGTTACTATTATGAAAAACCCCATGGTGATATTGTCAATGGGTATTGATATAGTTCATGGTGTGTGTGACTACCTGTGCCTTGACAGGATTTATAGAGCAGCTGGGATGGTCAAAGACTTTGGCCAAGGTTTCCAGACTGGAAAGTGTCAGATCTATCTCACTGTAGAAGCGATAAAAGAGTGTTTGTTTGTCATTATTCAATATATTAAATTTAGTCACATGAGAAATAAAATTCAGGTCATATACAGTGCGTCTCAAAAGTTTGTATATTCATTGACTTATTATAGATTTTTTTTCATGATACAGTCCAAATAATAAAAATTATAATCCAACTGGTATCTTATGTGATAGAATTAGAATAGGATATTACTTTATTGTTTCTCAGCTGAGAAAAAGGGGTTTATCAGCAGAAAAGTTTACAACAAAAGAAAAATAGTGTCCAAAAAAACAGTTAAGTGCATCATTGTAAAGTGGAAGCAAATAAATAAACAAAAAAAATAAGTGGAATAAAAAAAATGTCAAGAATGCAAAGGGAGCACTAAGTCTTTTTTGAAGTTTGGTAGAAGCCAGAGCAGATACAGCAAAGATGTAAAAAATGTTGCCCTGGTCTGAAGAAACCAAGCTTTAACTTTTAAACCTACATATAAAACAGTATATTAGGTGGGGAAGTAAGCCCTGTCCTTTAACCTCACAACATCATCCCCATGGTTAAACATAGTGGTGGTGGTATCATTGTAATGTACTGCCTTCCTACTGTAATACCTTCTAGCAGTACAAAACTTGCAGCCTTAAACCTGCAGGCAGAACATCTGCGAAAAGGCTCAACATTTATCTTATTTAACAAAAGTATAGCCCATATCAGAGAGAATGCTTTTTTATAAATGCCTTGCATCTGGTCTGACTGAGCTTGGAGTTTTTTGGAGAAAAAGGATGATCCAGTCCTCAGTCTTTAGACGTGCAAAGCTGGAATAGATGCAAAACGTCAAACATTGCAGTCAAAGGGTGTATTTAGTTAGTAATGGCTTACGGGGGAACAATAAAAATGCACATGACACATTCTAAATGTTATTTCATTCATTTTCTTCAACTTCATAACTTATTTGTTGTTGTTTTTTTGTTTTTTTTAGACAATACAATCTAATAAAATGCATTAGGGCTTGAGGTTATAATGAAACAAAAAGTACAATAAACATTACAAACTGCATCTGATGAAGAAATATGCTAACCTGTTGAGGCCTTGGCAGGCTGTAGCCAAAGTGCGCTTGAGGCGATATAAAGTTGTAGCCCCTTTATGCACATTCTCGATGTCCAGAGGCAGCTCACTGAAGAGGTAGTCATTGAGCAGGCCAATCACTTCACCTGCAATACTGCAGTACATAAAAAAACAATAAGGGATCAGGTCATAATAATATTCAAGCTATTTCGGTCCCCTGAGTATGACTGCTGTTGGAGTGGAAGTTAAATGTCATCTCAGAGGTGAAAAAAGACTTTCTGAAACTGGTGGGAAACTGAGCAGAACAGTGGTGTTTATTAATAGGAGCTGAACAGTCACATGGAAGAACAAGCTGTTATGCTTGATTGCCAACAGGTGCACGTGTCTATAAAAACTGATTAATGGAAAACATAACGACTTGTAACCAAGAAACCTTCTGCAGTGTGTCTCTATTGTGATTAATTTTTAGTATATGGTAAGAAGGAAGTAAAATCCCTCCTGAATTTTAGTTTTACAAAATCATTAAAAGCTTACATTAAGTCTCATTACTAAATAATGAGACAGAAAGAATCCTTGCAGTCTTGCACACTTAAATTTAGGTTTTAATTTGATATTTATATAATCATTTTCCCACTATCTGACATAAATCAGCTCTTTCTATATGCTAATTGCATGGAAAGGTAAAAACTATTTTTTGTTCTTATTATTTAAAATCGTTTATTTAAAACTTTTGTGCAGTTCAGGACTCCCATTCGGTGATATCTTGTTTTTGTAGGGTTTTGATTGGTTCATTCAAAATTGTTTAATAATAAGGAAGCACAGCTATAGATCTACATGACAAACATTTTGGATAATTACAAAAAATCTGAACTCTATTATCCAAGAAATTAGGGAGATCATTTTGCAGCTGAAGCTTAAAGGTGTCACATTTATCAGTTCAAACATTTATTTGCAAATAAAAGCACATTGACAATGTACAGTTATTATATTGTTCACAGACAAGATAGGTTCAATGTCCCAGAGGTGAAATGTTTTGGTACAAGATGTGCATATAATCCCTTGATCAAACACCTTTTCAAGATGTTCACTGATGCTTGTAAGAGAGGACCATTGAAAGAGTTTTTTTACAAGCAGTTGTTAAAAGGCTACTTACTAAAAGTGAAGCCAATACTCAGCCAAACAGTTTGCAGGCCCACATGGCAAGATGTTTAGGAGTTTTACTGCAGCAAAGTCTATGTTTTAGAGTGGTGGTCAAAAAGCCCTAATCTCAAACGCTTAGAAAATCATTAGGTAAAGCCAAAAACGGTGTCAATAGGTTAGGCTGCAAGACCAAAGTCAACATAAAAACGAAAATGAGGTGATGTCCTCTTTATATTGTTTGCCTATTTTTCATTATTGTTTTTACTTTAATTAATGATTTATTTATGTTTTATCATTGAAAAGAGAAACGCATCAAATCTAAGATTGTTTTTCTATTTTCAAAAGGATTTAACATGACACCTATTTCCACAAAACATACTATACTAGTATATTCTCAACACCCCAAAAAAAGATGACCAAACATTTAGAACATAAGCGTGAAATGTATTGACACATTTATCCATATTACCACATGGGTGGGTTTAGTTTTCAATTGAACAGGAGACACAGTGCAAAGAAAAAAGTTTTACTAGTCACTTAATGATCCAAATAACTATCACACACATACACTCGTGACATTACTGTTGAGTTGTTTAAATATGTGTGTTCAATCTAAAAGTTATTCTCCAATGTCTTCTTTGGGTCTGATTTTGAGTCATCAATGCAGAAATGTTAGATGATATGGTTTTGAGGTCAACTAAACAAACTGTGAGGTTTATATGGTAAATTCATCAGTTTAGTTATATCCAATCATTAAAGCAGGCTATGTCACTTATGACCTAGTTTATATATGGGTTTGTGGATGCTTGTTTAGGGCATTTTTTTGGTATATTAGCTAACATCACAAAGACCAAATTAGCCTTAAAGTGGCTAAAGCTTGATCCAAATGCAGTGGTCCACCTTTTTCTTGGTTTAGATTTAGTGTCACAATTATTTCCCCTTGAAACAGCCGAATGATTTTGTACAAAATATGTACTCTGATAATGTATTTTTAGAGTAACTGGGCCACATGGATGGATGGATGGATGGATGGATGGATGGATGGATGGATGGATGGATGGATGGATGGATGGATGGATGGATGGATGGATGGATGGATGGATGGATGGATGGATGGATGGATGGACTAAAATGAATTCAAAGCAAAGTTCTAATATGTTTAGGAATACAAACTTCATCTTCAGGTGGAAAACATTTATACTTTGATGTGTTCAGCTCTTGCAGCTTCTCCAGGAATAAGGTATGAGGGGCTGCTTTTGGTGGCGATCCCATGAATGACACTGTGTTGACAGGAGCTGGGATAGGCGCTGGCTTCTCATCGTCTGTGTTAAAATAAAGAAAAAAAACAAATTAGATTCAATAGTAAAGCTCTCGGATTTTTAACAGTTAAAAGACGTCTTTCAACCCAAACAAAAAACACAGAAAACTTGTTGAAAGTATTTACTTTTTTAAAATAATTTTCTCATTTACCATCCTTAAGCCACTCAGGTTCAATGTGTTTTATTGGGATTTCATGTGATGGATCAACCACAAGGTAGGGAAGTGCAGTTAAACTGGTTTTATAGATTATTTTTGTATTATTTAGACAATTTAATCAAAAAAATTCTTTAGTGAACCCAAATGGAAAATAATTGTTGTTTTAACTCATAGTTTTGTTTTAGTTCTATTCAATTGTTATATATAGTAAGAGCTGCAGGCAGGAATGATCTGCATCAGTCTGTCTACAGTGAATCTGGTGAAGCCTTTAAATAAAGAGACTCTGTTGTTGTTCAACAGTCTTCTGAAGAGGATGTTGAGGGTTTTTCCATAATTTTGTTTCTTTTATGAAGAATTGTCCCTTATAAAAATGATGAGGTTTAGAGGTTCTGATGTTCCCAGAAAAGAGCGGAGCATCTCTTTTATTTATTCTATTGTTTATGAAGGAGCGACAATAAGAAGGTTCTTTTTAAAGAAAGCCATAAGAGAATTTATTTGCTGTATAGAAAAAGACACCCACTGAAAGTCAAGTTAACTTTTCTGCTTAGACATATAATGTTATATATGTGGTAGAAATATGTACTACCTCCTGAATACACCATGGTGAAACTATGCAATGGCAGCATCATGCTTTGAGGATGTTTTACTGATGTAAAGTTGGATTTGAAAAAGTCGAAGGAGGAAGCTTGTGACCCACCTGAGCTTTCATCCCCTGAGTCTGTGTCATGGGACACAGGGTAGAGAAGAGGGGTGACCAGGCCTTTGTGGGGTTGCTGGTATCCCAACACCAAGTCCTCCAGTGTGCGAAAACAGTTCACCTGCACACCCTGTGTTGTCTTTACAAAAAAAAAAAAGAACACAGCAAAAACACTATTATTCTATTTTCAATAAAAAATATTACATTTTCTTTTATCCATGGAAACCAAACAGAAGCTTTATTCGTTTACAGTATAAAGTAACAATGCAAAATAAGAACTTTACTTTTAGGTTTAAGAAAAGAACTACATCAAGGACAGCAATGCAAATACTCTGAATAACCTAAAATAGAAAATGTTACATTTTAGCTTGATGAGTTTATTAACGGATGTTAGACATAAAAGCTCATCTCTTCTAAATTATTTCCCTTTTTTAAAGCAGAAGTATTCATTTGCATGACAGTAAATGGCACATACAGTACAGATGATGTGGGATGATAAAATATATATTCCCTGGGGAATATACAAATCTGAGCCGCAGAGAAGTGAAGAGAGCAACGGCTGATCATTATGTTTCTAAAAGCAAATACCATATCCCTGAGTAAGTTTTCACTTTTTGTTTATTTTAAGCATCCCCTCAGTCAAACGTCCACTCAATCAAACCTGATGCATTAAAAGCAAAAGAAAATCAGGTTACATGCCAGCACAGCTTTACATGAGCCAGTCTAACGTGGTACATTAGACCACAACTGCAGAGAGAACAGCTTCTTCCTGTGCTCTCTTTAATTTTTTCACTTTCATTTTGTGGTGAGAGAAACCTCTTTTTTGGCTTTAACTGCCTGTCCGTTCTGTCCAAAGTTCTTTAAATAGTATTTTTTTGAAACCACAAATATCTCTTGAAAAGTCATTCAAAAGAAATGAATAGGACACGAGGCAGCGATCCCGAAAATATCTACTCAGCCTTCTTGGAAAAACAAGAAAGGGCGAGCATGCGACTTGTGAGTTAGTGGAGCAATTCCAGTCTGGGGGGAAATCACATACTGGAGGTTTATACTGATGGCAGTGGAAAAACAACTGAAATAGCAACAGGGTTAAGCGGCCTCATTAGAAAGAAGAGTTTTTCAAGTCAAAGCCATAAAAGCTCCTGCCAGATAACTGGTATTAACAGTTGGTGTTACCTTTAACTGTTGAAGAAAATGGTAACATATGCATTTTACTTCATATTCTTGTGTGTATTATGAGTTTTATTCCTTTTGTCCAAACTAAGAATCTTAAAAACTTTGTCGCAAGCAGCCCAACTTCTCTTTAAATAATTATGCCAAATACAACCCCCTCGCTAAACACGTGTGTAACAAATAAGCAAACCATTTGGTCAGTGAATTAGTGAGTGGGTCGGAATCTTTGAGACATGAAAACAATTTCTCCTCTGTGCTGCTGAGCTCATGCTGCAAGCATGCAACCACATGGTGGGGATGCCATTCAAACAACAAAGTGGCTGCAGCCCTAGCTAAGTCTGCAGAGAGAAGAAACACAAACTCACTCCTGTTCTCCATGCAACATGGAAAAACAAACCTATTGTCTGATGCTTTCCAACAGCATCTGACCAGCAGGGTTTCTGACTGGCTGAACAATCAGTTTCAAGGCTTCATGCATCCTTTATAGTTTTCCTTATAACTGTTGCTTTGCAAGAAATTTGCATCTAAAATGGCAGCAATACCTTTACCTGAACTGCCAGGAGACCATCTGGGTCAGGAAGAATACGGTATGTGTGAACATGGCGTTGAAACCTTTGGGAAGACAAAAATCAATGTAAGCAAAAACAACCAAAACTCACAGGAAATGGGAAACAATGTTTGTTACTAGCTTTAATGTGTTTGTTCACTTTAGCTGCTTGAAGAGAGTCATTAAAAGTCTACCTTTCGTGTAGAGTGTACCGCAAACCTGTGGAAAGTTTTCTCTTCACCTGAGAGATCAAAATGGATTTAATGCCACAAGCAGCTGAGCAGTCTTCGCCAGCTCAGCGCTGCTCGGCCTATCGCACCACCAGACCTGCAAACCACTGCTATGGAGTTACTTTTGCGTTTTTTTTAAAACGCAAAAGTAAAAGTATAAAATGAGTCTGAAAGGGGAAAATAATTTTGAAACTCTGATAGCTAAATCTGATGTTGTTTGTGACTGAAGAAAAGATCAGAGTGAAAACATTTTCACCCAAAAATAGATTTCTCTCTCAACTTTTCTTTCACAGAAAACCTGTGATTCTCCAATATATATATTTTTTTACTTTTAAAATGACTTCCCCTTTTAGATCATTGGTCCAACAGACTTTTGCATGCATCCTTGTGGTTTATTCATGTGGACCAAAGAATGGTCTGAGACCGCTGTATTTTTGTTTAATGGTGAGAAATCTAAATTTGAAGTTTGGCCATGCCCACATGTTTTGTCGCAGCAAAAATCTTTTGATACATTTTGATCCCTAATACCTAACGTCTTGGCTCAGTCAAGTAGAAGTTTGTGGCTCAAAAGCTCTACGACGAGTCCGCTCAGATACGTCATGAAGTTAAAAAAGCAAACTGATGCCTTTGATTTAAAATTACCAACTTCCTGTGGGGTTTGGAGCAGGGCTCAAAATATACTTTATGCCAGTTACACAAGTGTACCAAATTGTATAATTCTCAGTCAAAACATGGCCTGGAGCATACATTTTTTTATGGTGAAATAACCCATTTTGACACTTGGCCACGCCCACATGCTTTGATGTAGAAAAATTATTTTGATACATTTAGATCCCCGATACCCTGATAATGTAGAGTAAATTTGAAGTTTCCAACTCAAAAGCTCTAGGAAGAGTTTGCTCAAATTCAACAGGAGTAACTGAGTGAAAAAGGCACATTTGATCGAAAATGTCCAACTTCCTGTGAGGTTTGGCTCCATGATAATTTTTTGTAGATCCAGAAGGCATACACATTTGTGCCAAGTTTCATAGTCTTCAATATAAGCACAGCTTGGGGTGGTTGTTTTACTGTTTCTAAGGTGCGTTTTAGAGATATTAGGTCATGCCCACTAAATATTGGGCTGGATCCCTGTGTGAGGTCGGTCTAGGATCCATCATATCGTTTTTGGTCCAGATACAAAGATCTATGTGGAAATAAGAGACAAAAGTATGGTCATGCCGAAATGCCTCACTTCGCCATGCCGCCATGACAATGATTTTTAATTAAAAATTTCTCTGTGTTTAACAAATTTATGCCAACATGTTATCTACCTTCTGACCTGGTTTCAAGTTGATGGGATTAAAAATGTCAGAAAGGGACCCTCCCAGGTGAGAAAAGTGACTTTCTTTCTCGGGACTTGGGACATTGATGATGTCATAATTTGACCAGCCAGTATAATCAGGACTTGGTTCAATTTGGATGTTTTTGTAAAAGCTATTGCATTTCAAATTGCTTGAAAAGTATCCTATCTTTGTCTTCAGCATACCTGCTAACTTTAAATCTCATATGCCTTACCTTTCATGATTTGGGGAAATCTACCTATGTACACATTTCAAATTTCTGTGACTCATGATATTCCAAAACTGACCTTAGGGGGAGCCATTGAGGCGTTATGCCATGTCCATTTCTGATTCCATTAAAATATGTAAATTTCAAATGGGGGACAATTTTCTGTAAAGTCTGGTATCTTTTTAATCATTTTAAAGCCACAAAATAAGAGTTTAATTCAGTAGGAAAATGATTATTATTTGATTATGATAGACCTTTGCAGCTCTTTCCTGCTCGTGCCTAATTCTGCAAAGTGCTGTGCGTGGCAGAAACTTAATACTGCAGAGTACTTTGGACACACCATCCCTATGGTGAACAAAACGCATTATGCAAATATGATTGCTTTTAAAATGCTCTCTTTGCAGTCTGACAGAGCTGAAGCTACGTATTTCCCCCAAAAGGTTTGCAGTAAGTTTTAGTCTGTAAACCTGATGATTGTAGAAACATAACCAACAACTGTAACAACTAAAATCACTTTGTGAATCTGTTTGTGAAAGAAAAAAATGTATATCAATCTACCATTTCCAACTAATTCATAATAATGATGATGTTTGTGGAAGCTTATTAAATAACATCTCCATATTTTAGTTTCTGCTTTCAACTTAACAGAATTTGGGAAAACGTCTGTTACTCTATAAATGCTCAGATCACCGAGAAATTCAAAATGATACAAAGATAACAAAAACGGAGCTTAAAAAATTTGCAAGCCAACTTAGCCTTTGAGAAACATTCATCCAGACCCATTAATTACTGTACTTGTACAAGTTATCAGGCACTTGTGATAACTGGTAATGAGTCTTTCACGTCGCTGTTTTGACACACTCTTTTTGCAGAGTTGTTTAGATTTAGTCACAGTTGGTGGTTGTCCAAGGCACAACCTGTTAAAGTCAGCATCTAGGTCAGATTTAAGTTTTAAACACTGAGTAGGCCACTAGTCATGTCAGCGTCATCTATAGGTGGCCTTTTTGGTGTGATGCTGGACAAAGAGGCTCCATGCACAATCCACTACTTCTTAAACTTATGGCTCTTATTTCCTTTCTTTATTCTGCTTTCTACTGGATGAACTGATTAATCCAGGTATGTCTGTCCATGATTACTGAGGTCAGGCATTGATCAGTTCATCCAGTATTGTAAAGTCAGTAAACAAAAGAGCTGCCTTAAGTTCAGGATTTAGTTGAGTTGTGTGTAGAGCCCATTGATGCTGGACATACGCCTTTAGGTTGTGCTGACAGAGAGCAAAAAGTATTGTTCTTTTCACCTATAGAAAGTGCATTAACAGCAAAGCAGACCCATAACATCACACTACCCCCACCATGTTTGACTACAAATGTTATTTGACTAAAATTTTATACATTGCTTTCAGGTAAATCCACAACGATTTATCTCAGATATAAGATAGAAATTAATGAGAAAACTCGCTCATGGAGGCACATTTTGAGTGGTTCATCTCTTGCTGTTGAATCACAAACTGACTCAAAATGAGAACAAACTGCTTTCGGTATTGCTCAAAGTTCATTTTTCATTTTGTTATTGGTTTTCTCTTGTAGTAATTTGAGTAGGCTGGGCTTCCTGAGAAACGTTTACCACAGTTCTTTTTTTCTGCCTCAATTGTGGTTTGCTGGAGTCTAAAATCGTTAAAATGGATAGATAACCATATCAAGACTAGTTAAATAATAATAGTTTTGTTTTGGATAGATCAAATTATGATCTATTGCCTTTTGAGATCTCTTCCCCCACTTAATGCTGTTTGATAGAATTTATGTAGGTAACATTACGACTGCCATTGGTTTGTATTGTGAATTTAAAGTAGACTTTCCAAGTCTAAAGGTTAATGGCAGTTAGTTCATAATGTAGTAAACTATGGGGCAGATTGGTATATAAAGCTTTTCTTACAATGAGTAAAAATCATAATTTGAGAACTTTTATTTGCTCAGGATAACTTTAATTTGTATTGTATTTGTTCTGAAACATTAATCTAAAAAGAATTCTTAGAAAAAGTTGATTTTTTTATGCTTCAATAACTGTCTATGTTCTTAAAGAGGGTACTAAATAATTTCGCAGAATACTGACCTGGTATAAGACTGTATTAGACTGCTGTCTGTTATTATGTCGAACTATGACAGCAGTTGTAGAAGACATTAAAAATAGGATGATATACAAAGAAAAGAATGAAAGGAAAGAGGCTGCATTGGGAGCAGCCAGGCTCAGCTTTCAGGAATGCATCTGGCTTGAGCCTGATGAGCAGACAGCGTAGTGCGGTTGCTGGAGCCCCGGCCCCTTTTTAGGGGCCTGAGAGAAGGAAAGGGGGGTTAAATTAGGGAAACAAGGAGTCATATGTTTGGGTTTGGCTGATGTAGATGGTTCTAACAGTCCAACTTGATGGCTTTTTTTCAACCAGGTGGTAAATGTTGAAGCAGGGGTTGGTTATTCCACAAGGACTTTACAAAAATGATATCAGTTAAAGTTATTTGTTTTATTAGACTAGACGATTAGATGTGGCTTTCCATAGTCAAGAATACCGTTATATAAACAAATATTTACATATCATAACAGCTTAGATTAGACTGTATTTTAGATGCTATAAATAAATAAGTGTGTGTTTCTACTTACAGCAGGCACAATGCATATGCTCCTGGCACTGACTCACTGTCTCTCACCAGGTAGCTGCCATCCCTTCCTGCCCGTGCCAGCAAGTCCTCCGCTCTCACACGGCTGATGTCACAATGGTACCATGATGCCGAAGCCATGGCAGTCAATGAGGAGGACAACGCTCACGAGAATAATCCACATGAGGTTATTAACTCTGCAGAGGGTCCATGTCCAGCACAGGTTTAAAGTCTTAGGCTTGCAGTCATTTCATAGCTCCGGAGGTCTCTCTTGCAAGTCAGTGGCATCAGAAAACCACTGTGGTCTGCTTGAGTATTTAAAGCCTTCCCATGATTGTGGCACTTCCTGGGTCCTTCCTCGTTGCGCCAGGGTAACCCATCACATTGCTTTAAAGCAAGCAGATGTGAAAAGAAATGCCACCAGGTTAGTCCACTCCAACACGCCCTCTACTTCTCAGCAAAATCCTCCATTCTGGTCATATCTTTCTCAATAAAGCCCCAGTTTCTGATTTAGGTTGTTAGCGTCTCCACCCTGTGAAAGTGTGCGTGTTGATCCAACAAACACAGACCATCACAGCTGAGCAAGCGCGAGAGGAGAAAGTGGTAGAGAAAAAAACAGCAGAGTCTGAATGAAGCAGCCAGTCCTAAGGCGACGACTCTTCCTCAGGCTAAACCACAAACACAAACCCTCCTTCTTATCCCAAAACAAAACCTCTATATTCAAACAACAGGAAAAGATGAACCAAAAATAGGAAAACAAACAATCTGAAGTGAACACATGCTTACCACACACACACTCACATATGCACAGGCATAGCAGATGGAAATCAGTCAGCATTAAAACCAGACAGACATGCAACAGAAACCAGACTAATTCAAATAACTTCCCTGCTCTGCTGCCATATAAGGGAAAAGGAACACCCTCCCTATAAGTTCAGCTGATGACTGCAGCCGTCTTTGCTTTTTTTTCCAAATCCTTATTCCATTAAGAGTGAGCATAAAAGGATGTGGGCTCCTGCAGGAGTCTTACTTTCAAACCTAATGTTTTTGAGTTGCAGTCAGAAGAGTCCAATGCAAACTGGTGTGGTCTTCTTCAGACTGCTGTCAGAGCAGGGGAGGGAGCACAGACACAGAGGAAAATCCTGTTATAGGGTAGGACAGACAGAGGAAGTGACTTGACATTCCAGATGGCAGGGGAAGCCAGGAGCATTCTTGTGAGGGGCTCAGCTACACCTCCATTGCGTAAAAACTACTTCCTTCTTCGCCCTCCTCTCTGTTTTCTTCTTCATGTACCCCTTCCTGACTACTATTGTTTCAAAAGGAAAATACTTCTTTGTCCAGAAAAGTCCTCTTACATTCTTAATCCTCAGCTTCCCGTCGCTTTAGAATATTTTTATCCTTTGACTGCACGTCTTCTGTTGATAAAAACCTTAAGATTCATTTTTTTTCCTTTGTCACCCTCTCTTCTTTCAAGCTCTTGCTCAGTCTTTCCCTCTGAGCAAACACCCTCTCCATATGGTTATGATCATCCCTTTCTTTCTTATTTTTGTCCTCCTTGTACATTGCCTATTTTTCACCCCTCCTACGTCCCTCCCACTCCATTAGCAGGAGCAGAAAACCATGTGGGAAGCTGCTTCACTGCTCAGCCTCACACTACTCAGCAGAATTTTTGCCGACCACCAACCACAGACCCCATAAAACAAACAGAAACAAATCCATAACAATTCGATGCATCTTCTTAGCTCTCATTTTGGGATCACTGCTATTTATTTGTGCTTTGCACTGCAAATGTCAAAAGAAGGCATCGACCTCAGCTAAAACTTTGCACTTATTACTTTATTTAATGTGGGGAGAGTTAGCTCCTTAACTCAATTATAAATAGGGACGAGAGTTTTTCTTTATATTTAACATGCAGTGCCTTGCAAATGTATTTTTTTAAACATAGAGAATTATCCCATTACATAACATTATGATCCTTACCTATTTTCTTATCATATTTACAGTAAGAAAACAATAAGCATAATGTAAAGAAAGGACTGTACTGCAAATTTTAGATACATCCCTTCTCCAAAAAACTTAAATACGATGGTGTAAGCTCTGATTTGCTTTCCTGTCCATGCTGAATTTAAGAATTCCTGGTGTGTGATGCTGTGACATGGACATGGATTTGCTTGAAGGCCAAAAAAACATGGTCCTGGTCACCTCTGACCAGAACATTAACTTTGTCATGTTTTCAGTGTCTCCTGGGTTTCATTTGCAAAACTTGGGGGGGGGGAAGGAGTTCTTTTATCTGCCATAAAACAACGGATTTCATGGGGTAAATCTTCCATAGAGGTCAGATTTAGACATAAATGGACAAATAAGAGTTCTCCTCACAAAAGACATTTAAAACAAAGCTTTGGATTTATGTAAATTTTCCAAAGTCACCTTAGGACCCTCTGGCATCTCTCTGACTTCATGCACAATCGGTCAGGTTGGTATTGGGAGCTTTGCAGTATTGCCTTGCTTCTAACATTTCTTGATTAATATTTTAGATAATTTTGAGTGAGATTTTAAACAGGTCCTGATCAAAAATAACACTGAGATATTTTACTTTATTATCTGAGATCAATTTAATCCCAACCAAAGGAAGTGACTGACTAATCAGCTTCTTTTTCGAAGACTGGTCCAAAGACCTAACTTCTGTACTCTTAAAAAAAAACCTTTACAAGAACAACTGGATGTATGCTTGAATTAAATTACAGAAAGGGCAACTCTAATTACTAATTAAGGATGTACACAAATGGCTGGCCTAGAATAAATAACAAGTTTTCAGTGAAAGAACTTACTGAAAAGAATAGCCCCTTTAACAATATGTTTTAAAATCTTTTTGAATTAATCATTTTTTCTGCATTGTATTATAATACACAGCTTCATATGGGTTGAATATTTTGTAAAATAACCAAGTATATTGTAGAAGAAATTTACCATTACTTTAAAAAGTGTCCTTGGAAGTGGTGGTCTCACTCCTCAGGGCTTGGCCAGGACGGATCCCAGGAGGAGGAAACCAACGACCTGGCACTGTAACAATCTAGACAGATGACCCAAGTGTTCAGCCTATGACACAGCAGTAGAATTTAAACACTTTATTCTGAACTCAGGACTTCAGGAGCATGTCCGCGGAGGACAAGGGATAACTATATATGAAGATGTAGATTAGTGGCTTAAAGGTGTTTAATAATGAAATGTGTGAAACCAACAAAAGCCACTAAACTTTTCAGAGTTCTCCCTTGGACGGGGGGCAGCAGCTTTAGCAGAGCGGACTGCTTCTTTAACAGATGTGGGGTTAAGGACAGCAGGGTGACTTGTAGCACAGAGGCAGGATTGAGGTCTGTGAAGCCAGACTAAGATAAAAAAACAATCAGGGGGATTGGCAGGAGGCAGAAGTCAAGGTGCAGAAACAGGATCATTGTCCTGAAAGCAGTGAAATCCGACAAGGGCTAGGCAAGAGGCAAAATCCGTGATGTGAAGACGTTGTCATGAACTGGTCAAGTAACATTAAGTGCTGGATGCTGCTTGTGCAATGACTCGTAACTGAGGACCCAGAATTCAGGCAAGACAGACAGTGGAATAACTTAAAAGCATTTATTTTAACAAGCTGGTCTGCAGAAGCAGCAGGTAGTGCGTAGGCAGGAGTAGGGTTGTCAAAAGTATCGATACTCAAAAAAGTATTGATACCAAAATGTTGTATCCGGATACAATACTCATTTTTAAAAGTATCGAGACAGTGCTACCACCAGTGGCACCTAAGCAGTCATTCATTTAAAGTGCAGAATAGAGGAAAATGCACTTCTGAACACTGTGTGATTGAATAATTCTACGCACTTTTCAGTTTCAGACTTTTTCTGTAACAGGTGCAGCTGTTGAGAATTATTTTTGTTTCTTAACCGGTTTGACTAGTGTCATTGTTATGTGCGCAAAGCATAGCCAAGGAAGGAACACTTTATTTTAATTTCATACGTTTTTTATCAAGCTTGCTTAATATTATGCACAGCATACAACCTCAAAATATTGTTTTTATGGTTTATTGTATTTATTTATTGTATTTTATTTATTAATGAAAATATTTCTGTAGAATTTTGGAGTCTTTGTTTTTATTCTTGTGGTATCGAAAATGGTATCGAGTATCGAATATTTTCCTTAGTATTGGTATCGAGTTGAAAAGTTTAGTATCGTGACAACCTTAGGCAGGAATGTCTAGAGGAAAGAAACACGGGTTAGTGACCACCATAATCTGACGGAGGATGATTATAAATGAGTGAGTCACGAACCTGGTTTGACATTTCAGTCCGTGTCCAGAGAACAAGGATGATTCCAGCCAGTTGGCTGACAAGACACAGTGGAAGCTGCCAGAGAGTTCCAGAGGTGGAAACCTAGAAGGCTGCAGAATTGATGGGAGATCAGATCAGAGCAGACGAAGGAAGGCAGGATAATCTAAGACAGGCCAGGCAAACAGATCAGACAGGAACAGGCAGGCTCAAAAGTCCAGATACAGAAACAGCTCTGGATCAGGAAAATAGAACACTATTAGACATCAGGGAAACAAACCCCAGTCTTCCACATGACAGGCAGTCATGTGGGACACCAGGAGACCACTATACCATTCTGGGAGAAGCTTGGAGTAGAACAGTCTCTCCTCCAAAAAGGAGGGCCAGGGAATAACCCAGGACACAATTGAGGGACCGTGTCTCTCTTCTGGCCTGGAAACACCACAGGCTTTCCCCAGCAGAGCTTGATGAGATGTCAGGAGAGAGGAAAGTCTCTGTTGATACTGTGACCTGTTCCCAGATAATCCCATCCTTAAAAAATATTGGTTGAACGCCTAACAAGGTTTGATGGAATTTAAGGTGTCAATGAGTACAAACAGGTATGGCAAAGGATTGATAACTCTTTCTCTGCTACCCATTCACACCTGTGTAGAGGTTTCTCTGTAACTTTGTGGTGTCCTTCAAAATAACAAGAGAACTGAATGATATAATGCACATTATGAGGTTGCAAAAAGCTTACCCTTTCACTGCACAATTTAGGGCAGAACCAGCTAAGAATTACTAAAACAACACAATATTGTTTAAAGTTTTATATATAAATTAGGGAGCTGTAGTTGTGGATGTGCTATTGATTGGAAAGTTTGACACAAATACCTTAGTTGACTTAACCAAACTCACTAAAGGTCATGTGAGAATTGCAAAATACTGATGGCATCACACTAAACAAGCCTGTATTATTTACAATTACTTTGAGGTCATACTAAATTGTGTTTTAGTTTATAATTAAATTCAGCCATTTTGTCTATTTCTTACATTTCTTACAAGTCTAACATTTTATTAGAAATACATTCAGTGGCTCACTAATAGTTGCAATATAGTTTCTTTAAATAGCAAATGTTGCATATCTGTCTCAATTTAGCAAAAACGAAGGCTGTGTTGTTAAGAGGGTGTAATACGATAGATCTCTAATGCACTCAGACAAGGCAAGAGTTCCTACAAAGGACAATACTGGCCACATATATAAATCACCTACCTAAAGAGGCACCAGATTAACTGTAAGGGGCTTATGTGACTCTGTGTTGGCCTGCAGAGCTGAAACAGGTAAAACAGAGAGTGCATCATTAGGATACCAGGGCACAGCATTATTCAAGGTTCTTTTGTTTGTTCTCCGCTGATAAGAAGTGATACGGAACATCTCTAAAGTTACAGCTCTTGTTTTAATAGATCACTGGAACATAAGCCTAGACAAAACATTTACATAATAATGACTTCTTAAAGTTAATCAGGCAACTTTTTATATTTGTAACTTTCTCTTTAAGAGATGGTTAATACATGGTAACTTATGATTATTACCAAATATATGTAAGTCCATTGTCAACATTTAGAGGTGACAACTATTTAACAAAGCTCCACTGCAACACAGCTATTGTCATTTATCATTGAATAGTTCAGGTCTCAGTGTTTTCCACATATTTGCTCTGTTCAAATATCGGAAAAGGCTAAAACTTGGTATGACTCTCTTTAAATTTGATATCCCAAGTAAATAGGGTAAGAACAACAGTAGTGTTATTAATTTGAAAAAAGGGGGTTTACTAACAAAAATAAAACACAGAACTAAATTAATGTTCATTTATAGTTAATTAATGTCACAGGTTCCTTAAAAAGGTCAGGTAAACAAAACAAACCTTGACAACAAAAATAAGTCACCTTACCAGCAAATTAACTGGTTGACAGAACAAAATCAACCAAAACATATCATGACTGTCACCTTTGTGGAATTCTGTTGAAGTTTCTCTTTAAGTTTTCAGTTACATTTTCATTTATGTCATTCTGTGTTTTCATGATCGATGGTTTCTTTTCCATTTTGTGTTATATTTAAGCAGTGTTGTATTTTTTGAGTTACTCTCTGTTGCCTTCTTGTGCCACTCTCCTTTCCCTTAGGTCCTTCTAGTTACTTCTGTCTACACCTGGTCCCTTTCAGCCAATCAGTCCTCCAATTTTTTTTGTCTCCTATACATACATCTCCTGTTCAGTTACTCATCGCTGGTTCCTCGTCATTCTTTTGATTTATTCCTCCCTCGTGTCTCCTAGTTTTTTGGTTCTTCAGTTTCCTCGTCGATCAGTTCTGGACTTTATATTTTGTATTTTTACCTTTTCATTCAATTTTGCAAGCAATCTTCCCTGCCTCCTTCTACTCTGCATTTAGGTCCACAACAACATTCACCAACATTGACAAAACAATAAAGAATAAATGGGGATATAGGTACTGGGTGGTCAGGCCACACAGAAACAAAAGGGGGAATTTTTAAAGGAAACAAAACTAACAGTTTGCCAGTAATAGAAGTAAAAAAAGAACACAAATTACAGAAAATAAAATATGAGATATTCAGGTCATACTGTGCTGTTAAATAAGAAAAGACATAATCAATAAGAAAAAACATTTAACTAAATGTGTGTGTTTAAACAATGGAGTTAGAATGTTAAAACATATCAAACATGGTAATGCAATAAAAAAAAGTGTCATATTTGTGTATATAAACACAGATGGCATGTCAGCTTTGATTTACGTGTTGCAGAAGGTGTGACCTTCATATTCTACAATTACTTTCTTCACACCACTCTTCCATATAGGTCTGCAGAGTGCAAGATTGATAGAGATTCTTAAACCAGAGCTCAAGATTTCAACACCTCCTCAGCAGTAACCACAGGCCTCTTGGCTTTGTCAGCATAGAATAGATGGCTCTGTCTTTATATCTTTGTAGGTGTTTAATACTCATTACATTTCCAGATAATGTGCAATCAGTCACATCAAAGGAAGGGATGTTGTTTTATAATCTAACTCAGCCTTCAACTTCTCTACAAGTTCATCCTGTCCTATCTATTCAACAATAATATCAGCAAATCTGCAATTGTAAAGTGACAATATGAAGAAGAACTAAGGGCAGATAAAGGTCAGGGCTTTACTTTCTACTGTATGTCTATTTCCAGACAGTAGTTGTAGCTGTAGAACAGCAAATCACGGCCCCATCTTGAATGAAAAAAAAATTCAGAGCAGTTTAGCAGGCTAAAGAGTAGTGATGCTCTGAACTGCACATTAAACCCCAAAAAACGTGACATATGTCTGTCTAAATCTCAATTCTGTTTGAGAAGTTACAAAGTAGTTTGGAAAAAGTGTCTGTAATATGATGAATTTGAGACAGAGGCATTGGTGGAAAAGTTTTTTTGCAAAATGCATAGTGAAAATGAAGTATGTGGCACTCAAAAAAAGAACACAGTTAAGCACCAGCAAAGGATGGAGGTTATTATCCTGCTGGGAGAGAGAAGTGGAAGGCATGCTGCAGGCGTTTGTTAACTGTAACATGTGAAAAAATACATAAAACCTTAATTTTTTGATTAGGCTTTGAAAGCAATAAATGGACATTTTTTCTTAATCTGAAAATTCTTATTGTATAGAATAGTGTGCTATTCTTTGTTTGTTTGCTTGTTTATACATTCTCTACCCTTGCTGCTCAGACATGTGAATTTCCCAGCTGATGCACCATAAAAGCTTATTCAATTCTATTCTACTCTCTTTTATTCTATGCCATTCTATTTTATTATAAAACCATTTAACCCAAGCGATATCCTATCCCTGATGTTAGCTGTTTAAGCATCTGCATCCCACCACCATGCTTAGGTTTTAAATATCTGTTGACTAATCTAAAGAAACTGCAAATATGATTGGGGGATGTTGTTCACATCGGTACTGTCTGTTCATGGGAGCTTTAGAAGGATCTTAAACCATGTCCCCAAGTGACACAGTAAAGTGAGGCGTGTGCAAGCATAAACCAATCTGATCCATTACCTCTACACCCAAGGTGAGACAATCCATTCAAAATACCAATCATTCACCGCCCTCATTAATTAATCAGTTACTAATAGCTGAACCAGACGATCCTGCATCAATCCCCTCCATGGATTTGTTCACCGCCTTGTGCCAGATGAGAGTTCAGCCTCTGAAGATGAATTGGTGTAGGTGTGGGTAGTTTGAAGCAACTGGCCTAAACCCAAGTTGACGTTGCAAATAAGAGGCAATTCACACTAACGCAGTCTTTGTCAAATCCTGAAAAGCCGATACCCACCTAAGAACATTCAGTCTCAGTGAGGAAACAATGTTTGATTATCTAGTCTTATTAGAAATAAAGGTGAGTTTACATACAGTGAAGTTAACAAATATCCATTATCTTTCATGCAATGAAAAATTACACAAAAACCTAGATGATGAATCTCTCATAAAATAACAAAAACAAGGTGAGATGATTGTTGGTATCTAAAAAATATATTTTTTGCACTTTACTAAAATTATGCCTGTTAGGGATTGTTTACGTCCTTCTAAGTAAGTGAACTCAGTTTGTTTTTTTTCCAGGGACATGAACTCCAGGTATTTCTTTAGTCTTAAACTGTAATTTTACTACCATCTCCCTAATGTTTCACTCTCTTCACAATTATTTAACAGATACAGGTCTTTTTTTGTTGGACTTAGCTCTGGTAAAATAAAAGATACATTTCTCTCAAAATCATGTAAGCCATGGATTATAATAATTNCTATCTATCTATCTATCTATCTATCTATCTATCTATCTATCTATCTATCTATCTATCTATCTATCTATCTATCTGTCTGTCTGTCTGTCTGTCTGTCTGTCCATCTAGCTACTCACTAGTCCACACATCTTTCCGCATAGAAAATTTTAACAAAACTGTTATCACATAAGCATAAACTTTTATTTCCAACAAACTACTGGTTTGCAGACACTAGATTCAAACTGTGATGAAATTAAAAGCAGCTTTTAAACCACAAACAAAACAACCCCAAAAGTTAAACTGCCATCAGACAGAGGCAGATCCGTGTATTAAAATATTTGTATTCCCTCCTATGTTGTGCTCTTTTTGACCATAGAAAACAAAAGGCCATCCTATTCACTTTTTTTCATTTGATTTGAGCCACTTTCTTTAGAAAGGTTTTTTTTTCAAAAAGTTGTTTTTAAACAAGTATAGCAGGAAGTGATTTCTGGAGAAGGCCAAAATCATTTAATGATTCAGTTAGGTATTACATTTCATTCCATTGACTAATTGGTTTCATAATGATTGCAGGTATAAACATTGTTTTAATCCCATTAAAAGTGTGCATAGTTTCCCATAAAACTAACTAAAATGACTTTACAATCTCAACAAACCAACCAGACGACTTAACTCAATAAGTTGTCAAACCTTTTTTAACAAAACTCAACCAAAGGAAACCTGGGTTAACAAATCTAAGAAAACATCATGTAATTGCGACCTTTTCGGTTTCACAGTGCGACTCCGAAATGCTCCCGTTTTCTTCTTACTCTCCTGTCTTGCATTCTTATGGTTCTGTAAGTTCAAAAATAATCTCCAAAAGACATCCTGAATTGGCCAACCTTCATCATAACCATATTAGGATGTGAGGATTTTTGGAATACTGATGTCAGCTGTAAATCCTTTTGACTTGCACAGCATTAAGTCAAGAGGTCACTCAGATTTCTGTAAACCGTTGATGAGCCCAGATTGTGTTGAGCTTGGTAGGAAAGCCATCTGTCAACCTGCCTTCCACAACAACTCAAATCCAACTAATACTGATCTGTGCAATTCTTGGCATTCAGAAAGGAAAATCCTTTCAAAAACATTCCAGGTTTCTCATAACTCAATCAAAATTTAGGATCAGACTTTTTTCTAATGCTTGAGTTTAAATAATCTGATGAATGTTTCTCTGGACTATGGAATTAAATAGCATTATAAAAACTTTTATAAAAGGACTTTGTTATTAAATTTTTTTACATATCACATTTGACAGAAAAAATGCATTTTCAGTTCTAAAAGAGGAGTCTGCTAAGCCTCTTGAACACAAGCCGATTCACACATACAAACAAAGGCAAATGTCCTCCATAATAATAATATTCTATTACTTAGTCTCTATGGGAAACATAGAAAATTACTTGCATTTTTTTTTAAATACATACAGGTGTTTTTTGTTGTTAGTGTTTGATCAGAGAAAAATGATCGTTAGGACAGCTACTGCTTCAGGAATTGCTGTCAAAATGTTTAAAACCCCTTTGGTATATTTCTGTCTATCCATCGGTTTATCTATTAACAGATTTCCTCAATTATTTATGAACACAAAGTACATAGGATCTAAACATGGATAAGACACTTGCTCACTTATAATATATGAATTACTTGTTTCTACCATGGGAGTCTGACGTTACCTTCGGCTCTGAGCCTTTTCTCTTCTTCTCGCATACACAATAATTATTTTTAACTGTGCACTAGACTAAATCGGTACTGTTATAATTAATTAATCAGATTTTCTCTAAAACAGCCATCCTTAAGCTGAAGGGAGGTCTCCAAGGTTGGCGGGGAACACTGTATAAAGGCAAAGCAGAAGGCAGCTTTCGGCATTCACTCGCCAACAACTGTGACAGATTAGACAAGGAAACAGAAGAGAGTCCCTGGTGGAACTGAGGACACCGTAAGTTAGCTTCTTTTCCTTCTAACACAAAGACTGATGCACAGTAATTTTCCAAATTCATAGACATCAAGTATTGGATAAGTTAGATTTCATTTTATGTGACGAGGAAAGAACATGCAGAGGAAAAGTAACTTTCTTGGTTAGTTCATAATACTAAACTCTAAAGCTAGAAGGGTAATTTCTCATTAATACAATTGTTGAGAATGTTGCGACTTTAAATGCCATACATTGCTAAAGAAACTTTGACTTGATTTAGATTGAATGAAGAAATGTTCTTAAATACCTGCTGCTCTTTTTGAGATTTTAAGTTTAATTTGTTTCTTACTAAACAACTCTGTCTGTATTCTATGCTGACAGGATCTATATCTGCTGCCATCATGTCAAAGTAAGTCACTTATCCATTAATATTGGGAATTGATGGAAAGGTTCTGAAAACCAAAAAGTCTCTATCCGTGTGTTAATTTGTAAATATCTAAAGATAAACAATTACTTAAGATGATTTATTGTTATTCTATTATGAAGATAAAATAAATAATATGATTAAGTACAAGGTAAAATATGTTTAAAGTACTGGGTCACTTTTACTATATAAATCCCATTTCTGTCATCAGCGTCTGTTCGGGAGTTAACTCTGACATTGCTGTCAGCATAATCAAAAGCTAAATGATTTACAACCATTGTTTTATTTTAAACATGCATTTAAAGTAAGACTTTGAGTTTGTTGCTTTGTTGAATATTCAGACTTAGAAAAATTGATAATGAGGAAATTAAATTTAAAAAAAATTCCCTACAGAAACACAGATGACAGGCATAGCTCTAAAATATTTATATCATAATCGCTCTGGTAACACTTTCGTTGGTTTGCACTTTTTAAATAATTTGTATAGGATATAGATAAACCCTTATTAAGGTGGATTATGTGGATTAAATCTTGGAGGAGAGACTTACAAGACAAATGGAGGGATTAAATAGGATTACTTGCAAATACATGAAAGTGGCAAACACAAGCAAAGGATTACGTTGTTGTTCACAGCATATGCACAGAGCGAAAAGATTGATCTTTTCCTCGGATGGGTCAGAAAACTGATACCGAACTTCTGAGATTTATTTGTTTTATTTTTTATGCGTTTTTCTTGTTGTGTACTGGTGTTAAACATAAAAAAGAATTTTGCAAAGTATTTGAAAATTATAAAGTTAAAGAATAGTTTCTGTCTAACTAGAAAGTCACACATAAATCCTATAATAATAAACAAATGTGTTCATTCCTTTTTTAGAGAGCTACTGTAATCTACCATGATAAGAGAACACAATGGTGGATGGTAGAAAATGTTTAAGTTTTCTATGAAATATAGGGATGAAAACCCCTTCTGTTTGAATTACTGTGACACTGAAATGCATAAAGTATTGGCTGAAATGCAGTAAAGTGGAGACATCAAGAGAAAGCATGTGGAATTCAAAAATTTGGTCCAGTTTCTTACATATTTTACAAGCCTAATTATTAAAATTTACCCTCAAAGTCTGGTTTCCTGTTTTCATGTTGTTTTTTCCTTCAGAGTCTTTAAGAAGACCAGTGGAAATGGAAACGTAAGTGGACCTAAAAAAAAAATGTTAACTATGGGATTGCCCAGTATAATTTCTACTCCTTCCAGCTCAAAGGTTTATGAACCATGGCAGCAGACTAACTGTGTTTACTTGTTTCTCTTAGATCGCCTTGTACTTGGCAAGAAGAGATTTTGTGGACCACGTGGATTCTGTCGACATAGTAGGTGAGTTTTGTGGGAGGGGATTCATGGTTGCACCTAATAAAACATATGCAAGGCCAGGATTTCTCATAACCCTAAGAAATGTTTATATAAAGTTATTGATAAAGATTTATTCTAATTTAAAGCTATTAAAAAGCTATCTACGTGCTGCTCAATAATATTTTAATTGGCTTTGAGGTTTCGCTCATCTTTTGAGTTCTTCGAAAATTCTCTATCATATTCTGGCAAGTCAAACAAAAAAAAATTATATTTAGTTAAGAAGAAGAATGGGGTAAAACTGAGATAATAACTTATACCTAAATCTGACAGAATATTGAATAATTACAAGCTCATATGCATATACACATTCCTTTGAAATAATATTAATTTATTCTTGTTTCCACTTGTTGTTTTCAGATGGGATAGTAAAGGTGGACCCCTCTGGTCTAAATGGCAGAAAAGGTACCAATACTCTACTTACAATCATAGAATAGAATAAAATACAGTAAGTGTATTCATTTGGGTTGCTAGGAGCAGCTACCATGATGGTAACCCATGAATTAAACAGACATGGACTGATCATTATAACTTTCTGCTGCAGTGTTTGTCTATCTGGCCTGTGCTTTCCGCTATGGAAGTGAAGACCTGGATGTTATCGGACTCTCCTTCAGGAGAGACATCTGGATGAAGAAAGTTCAGGTGTATCCACCTGCAGATGGAAATCCGACCAAGACACCAATCCAGGAATCCCTCCTGAAAAAAGTTGGCGACCAGGGGTGTCCCTTTTCTTTCCAGGTAGCAAACTTTACAAAACACAGAACTCAATAACCTTGTTATTATTTTGTATCACTAATAATCTGTTCTGTGTTTATCCTTTATTATTTCAGATGCCAACAAATCTCCCATGCTCGGTTTCTTTACACCCGGGGCCAAGTGATAACGGCAAGGTACTATACGGACCATTTTTATTTTATTCAATCTTATTTAGACGTATGATCTCTTGATTGAAACGGACTAAAATGTGTTTCAGGCTTGTGGAGTGGATTTTGAGGTCAAAGCATACGTAGCTAAGGAAGCAAGCAATCCAGATGAAGTCATTGAGAAAAAGTATGTCTTCACACTGTTGATCATATATTTTATCTTAAAAATACAACAAAATAAATGCTTGACTTTTGACCCGTTAACTTTTGTCTCAGGGATACCTGCCGTCTGATGATTCGTAAAATACAGTATGCACCGACCAACAAAGCCGGACCAAAGGCCGATATCTCCAAACAGTTCATGATGAGTGACAAACCAATTCATTTGGAGGCATCTCTGGAAAAAGAGGTATACCAACATTTTTACTCTAAAATGTTTAGCCTTCAAAAAAATCATGATGTGGCATAAGTTAAACATGTATGATTTGTTTAAGATTCACTACCACGGGGACCCGATCAGTGTCTTAGTGAAAGTCAATAACGAAACAACAAAAACCATTAAGAAAATTAAAGTCTCTGGTAAGAAACACCACAAAGAAGGTTGAATGACACTTTTAACTGATGCAAGATGCAGGAAATAGAAACAGAGAGTCTGACCATAAATAAAACATTATTTTTGTCTGTTTGCTTCCAGTGGAACAGCTAACAAGTGTAGTCCTCTACTCATCTGACACCTACACCAAGGAGGTGTGCTCTGAGGAGTTCGGGTAAGGGTTTCCTTATTTTCAAATGGGATCAGTAACTTCACATGTGAATCAAATTCAAATCAAATTCATATATATTACATTTCAAACTCTTAGCATTTTGCAAATAAACAATAGTTGTGATGTGAATGAACTTTACAACACTTCAGTTCCACTTTTCTTTCAGAAACATGTATATAATTCAGAGACAAGTGCAGATTCAAATGCTGGTACAAGTTAATCAAATTTAGTTTAGAATGTAAATTGGGAAAAAGAGTATCTATCTAAGGCAGACAAGCTTGTTACAGAGACTAATTGATATATATGTCTCAGACACGTCTATTACAGCAATCCTACAGTAGACAACAAAATCTTGGTTTATCTCTTCGTAAATATAAAAAAAAGATGAGCATACTTTGACATTTGTTTATTTCAACTTTCAACACAGAGAAAATATTGCTGCAAACTCTACCTTCGAGAAGTCCTTTCAAATTACCCCTGTCCTGTCCAACATCAAGGAGAAGCGGGGGCTTGCCGTAGATGGAAAGCTGAAAGATGAGGACACCAACTTGGCATCCACAACGCTGTAAGACAAATCTACTTTCTCATTGAAGCAAGGAGCTTAGAGTGTGTCCAGGAAGGATTTTCATCCTCTTAATGAATGGCACTGATGCAGCTATACACGGTTTCATCCACTTAACACAAATCTTCAAGCTTTAAAAAGGTAAACTATTCCTGTCTCATTGCAGGAGCCAAGGGGATAAGGAGATGCAGGGAATCCTTATCCACTACAAAATCAAAGTTACTGTAACAGCGTCTGGAGGAGGGTAAGGTTTCACTGAACCAATAATAGGAACAGAAGAAGCTTTTATTCTTTGAGACAAGCGTGAACCTACAATCAATTCCTTGTTGCTCATTCTCCATTTCTTCTCTTCTGGAAGCTTGCTTGGTGGCCTGACAGGAAGGTACATGGATTCCTTCATTTGTTGTCTTCTAATAAACTACATTTCATTTCATTTTTCTAACAGTGAAATGTTTCCATTTCAGTGATGTTGTCGTGGAGCTTCCTTTGACTTTGATGTCACCAAAACCTGCAGGTCAGTGAAGTGTTGTACATCAAGTAGGAATTAGAACACTTTATGCTGATGACTAACATGATCTTTCTGCACTTTTTGTCCTATTTACTGCATGCTGTCCTCATGCACTGAATAGAAGTGTAAGTACAAAAACTCTCTTTGCTGCATGTATAAAAAGAAAATCATGGTTGTAATCTGGTTTTCTTGTCTTATTTGTAACTAGGGTTCTATGAACTAGAGCCAACTCGATCAAAAAATCTATAAAGTTCAGATGAGGTTAGTTCAGGTGCACTTTATTATTACTAATCAAGAGTAATGATCGATGCTAAATTAGGAACTCAAACTAAATTTTTAATCTTTAAATGTATTTAGACACCATGTACAGATGGTCACTGTATTCGTTAAATTAAAACCTGACTATAAATATATATATATACAGTGGGAAAATAAGTATTTGAACACCCTGCTATTTTGCAATTTCTCCCACTAAGAAAAAATGGAGGGCGTCTGAAATTGTCATTGTAGTTGCATGTCCACTGGGAGAGATACAATATCAAAAACAAATCCAGAAATCACAATATATGTTTTTTTTAACTATTTATTTGCATGATACAGCTACCAATAAGTATTTGAACATCTGTCCATCATCAAGGATTCTGACCCTCAAAGACCTGTTAGTTTGTCTTCAAAATGTCCACCTCCACTCCATTTATTATCCTAAATTAGATGCACCTGTTTGATGTCGTTAGCTGCATAAAGACACCTTTCCTCCCCATACAATCAGTAAGAATCCAACTACTAACATGGCCAAGACCAAAGAGCTGTCCAAAACACTAGACAAAGAATTGTAAACAAAGTTCCAAAAGGCTGAAAAGGGCTACAGGAAAATTGCCAAGCAACTTGGTGAAACAAGGTCACCGAGCTAAATATGGTTATCAAGTTCCCTCTGACTGGGGCTCCATGCAAGATCTCCCCTCGTGGGGTCTCAATGATCCTAGAAAAGGTGAGAAATCAGCCCAGAACTACGTGGGAGGTAAAGGTCAATGACCTGAAAAGAGCTGGGACCTCCGTTTCCATGGTTACTATTGGTAATATACTAAGACGTCATGGTTTGAAATCACACATGGCATGGAAGGTTCTATTGCTTAAACCAGCACACTTCTTAAGTTTGCCAATGACCACTTGGACAATCCAGAGGAGTAATGGGAGAAAGTCATGTGTTCAGAAGATACCGAAATAGAACTTTTTGGTCATAATTCCACTAACCGTGTTTGGAGAAAGAAAAATGAAGTACCATCCCAAGAACACCATCCCTACTGTGAAGCATGGGGGTGATAGCATCATGCTTTGGGGGTGTACTGCTCCGTATTAAGGAGAGGATAACCGAGGCCATGTAGATTTTGCAGAGCAACCTCCTTCCCTCAGTTAGAGCATTGAAGATGGGTCGTGGCTGCCTCTCCCAATATGACAATGACCCGAAGCACACAGCCAGGATAACCAAGGAGTGGCTCTGGAGGAAGCATATCAAGGTACTGGTGTGGCCTAGCCAGTCTCCAGGCCTAAACCTTTCTGCCATCATTGTGTATGGTAGACGATACGTTTTTCTATATTATTCTGATTGTAAACCCAATAGAGTATCTTAGGAGGGAGCTCAAACTCTATGTTACTCAGCAACAGCCCAGAAAACCTTTTGATCTAGAGAAGATATGTGTGGAGGAGTGGGACAGAATACCTCCTGCAGTGTGTGCAAATCTGGTGAAAAACTACAGGAAACGACTGACCTCTAATTGCAAACAGCATGTCTACTGTACCAATTATTAACATTGATTTTCACAGGTGTTCACATACTTATTTGCAGCTGTTACATACAACTAAATAGTAAAACAATCAGACATTGTGATTTCTGGGTATTTTTCATTTGTTTCTCACAGTGGACATGCACCTACGATGACAGTTTCACACCACTCCATGATTTCTAAGTGGGAGAGCTTGCAAAATAGCAGGGTGTTCAAATTTATTTTCCTCACTGTATATGTATGTGTAAAAAGAAATAATATGCATCTTATTATGAAAATGCTTTAAAAAATGTTTACTTGATCAAAATTTGACTCATTAAATGATTAAGAATTTGTTTTTCATGTTCGTCCTCATCCTGATGTTGGTATCTACTTTATTAACAGAACCGATGTCACAGTTGATCCTGTGGAGGCATAAAGAAAAGGAAAATCAACAGGGAAAACCAAGGAACTCATCACCAATGAAGAACACACACACGGCACAGTCTGTGCAAGCAAACAATTTTCCTGTTTTCCATGTAAATAATATTTTTTACTGTAAATTACACTCAAGGCTTAATTATGGAATAACTATGTATAATTTTTCTCCTGAATGTTATTATGTCTAAAGTATTCTGGACAATTGTGAAAAGCTCTTTAGACTATAAGAGACCTCTCTGCAAATTCTCTAAATGGAAATGCAGAGCTTAATTTGTTTGTGTAGAATTTTGTGTCATTAGAACAGCAATTAAGCTTACATGTTTCAGATGAATGTATTGACATTACTTGTTACTCATTACACATTACTTGTTACAGACAAATAAACTAAGAAAATCCTCCAAAAAAAACTTTGTAACTTTTTTCTTCTGTATGTTAATTTTTTAATATACATTTAAGAACTACCTTAATGTAAAGATGAAAGATAACAAATGTAAAATAAGAAAAGAAAGGGAAGATGTTAAAAATTCAACCCTACAAGACAAAAGTTTGCTCTTTTTGATAAATTGCAATCAGCTGAAACAAGGTACTTACTAATACTGAAAAGAGGTACTTTACTTTTGTCATCGCTGTTTGAGACTAAAAGTATTTCTTTTTTTCTTTTTTTTTGTTAGATCTGATTATCAAAATTAACTACATTTATTAAATGGATATAGATGTTAAATGCCAGCAGAATGTTTTTTTTTTGTTTTTTTAAGATGTTGGTGTTTCTTTTGCTTTAATTTCACTAGTTTACAGTAAATACATTTCCTTGGTAATAGAATTGGCTTTGAAAGAAATGCATTAAACTAGAGCTGCAACTAACATTATTTTGCAAATCAGTTAATCTGTCAAATGATTTTTTCGATTAATCGGATATCAAATGGTTCCTTAAAGAAGATTTCTTACAGAATAAGATCAGGTCAATCTAAAACTTTTCGACTTGAGGAGTTCTGGATAGAGCATATTGACAGATGAAAAGATTTTTTTTATAGCTGAAATGCAAAATATTGATATATAATCTCACAATTTTCTTGGAATTACTGCTCTAAGCAGGCAGCTCGGTCAGCTAAAGGCACGTTTTAGAGTCTCTACTCTCCAGTTAATGATAAATCGGTTACTAAAATTAGTTGACAATTATTTCAATAAGCCATTAATCACAATTAATCCGATTAACTGTTTCAGCCCTACGTTAAACATTTCTATGAATAGCCTGCTACTGCTCTGGCCCATTTATTTTAACATTACTTCATCTTTATGTAGTAACTTGCTCACGCACCTTTTGCTCACAAATTTTTAATTGGAGCTTTATGATGGCCACAACAGCTACCTCATGGATTTTAAGTCACTGTGAAACTAAAATGATAGCATTGTGCATTTGGAAGATCTATTGGTGCCCAGGCTTTAACTTGATGCTTGATGTCTTCAAATGTCGCTTCAATATTTCCTGATAATTGTATTTCCTTGGTATCTTTTTTATGATGCTTCCACCCCCATACTTCACTTTAGGAATGTATTTTTGAGGCTTTCAAAGTGGGCCCTTCACCATGATCTGCATTGCTAATTTTAACAAATTATTAGCAATGAGTGATATAAAGCCAGGACAACCCCACATGTTTACATTTGTTTATATAAAAAATAGGTGGCACTTTTAAACATCTGGAAATTCTATAAGGATAAACAAGCCATGGGGAAGTCTATCACGGCTGGATATATGGCCTTTTTTTAAATACCAAACATACTGCCAAAGCAAAAGGAGCAAATTTTGTGTGGTGCCACCCTCTCCACTTAAAAAAAAATGCACATACACAACCCTGTACCCGCTCCCTAGAGGGAATTTGCGTGCAAGAGCATGCACCAGCCCATTTCTCCTCGTACACGCTCTGTTTAAAAGTCACTGCTTGCATCACTCGTGCAGCTTTCTTTCCAAAAGAAGATTTGCAATTTTTCCACCATGTCAGGCTCACCATCGGTAAGTGAAAATGGGGACCAGTAGGTAGAACAGCCTTACCTAAACATATCACCAGAATGATTGACAGTTAGGAGGACCACTTATTTTGATGATCCACCTGTAAAAAGAACATCCTCCACTATAGCTTTAACTGTATGCTTGTCTATGTGTACTACCCCATCACAGAAATCCTTGTTTGTGTGAAAATGCTACTTGCCAAAGCATTTCTGATTTATACTACATAGGTAAGCAGGCTTCCATTTTGCAAAAATGTGTAAAAAAAAAAAACAAACAAAAAAAACAGAGGCCTCCTAAAGGCAATACGTGATTGTTATGCCTTTCCAAGGTTGTTAAAAGAAATAGAAATATCATCTAATGTCAGATTCTGAAATTCAAAAAAGAATTCTCGTGTTTCAAGTATGTTGCAAATTTAAAAAACTGGAAATCTTACCTGATCTAAAGCAGGAAAAAAAAAACTTTGTATTGTTTAATGTCTGAAAGTTTATGTAAACACATGTTACGCCGCATGTACAATAGTTTGGTATAAATAAGAACCATTGTCATCTCATAATGCTGTATACTGTGCTCTTTCTCTTTACACGGAGTCAGCTGCATGTATTATTATGAATAGAAGGAATTGTAAGTTGTAGTAGTAGTACTGTGTGCTTTAACCTTCATTATTTGATCAATATTTTCATTTACTTTAAACAGCTGCAAATACACTGCAGCACAAACTAAAAACTATTTTCCTTTTCAAAAGATATTGTATTGTAAACTTTACAGTTTTTTGTTGTTTTTTTATCTCTCCTCTATAGAAGAGGATTATGTGCCACTAAAAAAAAAAAAACAAGTTAACTGATATTTACATTTTATTTCAGTTTAATATGGGAAAAAAGACATAATTCTGAGAAAAATTTCAGAATTCTGATTCTTTTTTCCCAAATTAAACTGAAATAAAATGTAAAAATCAGTTAACTTATTTTATATCTTTTCGTTGCCCTAATCATCTTCCATGCTCCTCTGTTGCCTCTAGGTTGCGCTGTTTCCCCACTCTGCATTTAAGAAAACAAAGCGCAGGCTAGTGCAGGATAAAGATTCTCGCGTTGGTCCTCCCTAGTCTAGACATCACATCACTAGCAAAGTCTGCTAATTTAGCTGTATATTTTTTAACAAAATGTCAACCACGACTGGGGGCGGAGAGTTTGGCAACCCTCTGCGGAAATTTAAGTTGGTCTTTTTGGGCGAACAGAGTGGTAAGCGATGTTCTTTTAAAAAGTACTATTGTAAGATAGGGCAATTTGGAAATAAGTGTAAAGATTAGCCTTCCAGCTAGCTTCGGGTTAGCTCGTCACTCGCTTATGGGTTAAAGTTACAAGTTAGTATCAGTGTCTAACAGAGATATTGGATTATAAATAATAGTTTTAGAAACGTTAGAGTGAACAAATGTAGAAAAAGATTAGCAATTTGTCCTTTTTCGACAATGGTGATGATGTCATTGAGTATCTACAATTCGCCGTTAAGCTAGCCAGACACCTTGTAGTTGGTCAAATAACTATAAAAGCAATAAAAACAGAGTTTTGGTGCTGATTAAAACGTGTATATATGTCTATTGACTGGTTAATCGTCTAACTTGGGTCATGTTTTAGATACCAGTAGCGGTTATGCGTTCAGAACTATCCCACCGGTTTAATGTTAGCTAGCTAGCTGTTTCCAAGCTAATGTGCATGAAACATTGTTTTAAATTGTAGTCAACTGCATTCGTTGTACGTTTGGATGTTTCTAAATTATCTGAAAATATTGCCGTTCCTCAAAAAGCACATGTATAAGTTAGTGAAAGAGTTTGGTCTCTTATGTGTCATGTTAGCATGTAGCTAGCTATTAGCAGGCAGTATCTGACAGAGCCACGTCGGCCACTGGGCTAAGTGGTCGGCCTTTATCTCGCTGGCTATCTTCGATCTTTGCGGCCAGATGCTGTCCAGTGTGACTTAATATTAGACATATATACTGAACTTAAACATCGGAGTGTTGCGTTGAATGCAATCTAATACAAATGTAGGCATTTAAATGTTGAACAATTTGTGGCTCCACCCTTATTGCCAGCTCAGCGTGTGGGTTCATCAGTAAACTCCCATCGCTGCTGTTCTTTTCTGTATGACACCACCTCAAAATACGTCTTTAAGTTAATGGCACGGTTCAGGCTTTGTTCTGATGTTATCTCAACTATTTCTAATTTGTATTTGAAATGTTGTTTATCTTTACAGTTGGGAAGACCTCACTCATCACTAGGTTTATGTATGACAGTTTCGACAACACTTACCAGGTACAACTAAATATGATTCATGGTTTGAATATTTTTCTGAATTTTCTCTACTATTAATAAATGTTCATCTAAGCCAGACTTTTAGGGTTAGTGCTAACCATGGGACTGTCCCCACTGTGTGTTTTGCTTAAAATTTGCCTGTAGCCATTCATTTATTTTGTCACAAAAAAAAAACACATTGGAATGTTTATTTAATGTAACTTAATAAGTTAATTAAGCATTTATCAGGAATGCAATTAATCGTCCCATTATAAATGTTTGAATATTAGCTGGATGAAACCTAAGGACCCATTGTTTTAAAAATGAACGTAAATGGCATCATATTTTCAGCAGGTCCTAAATTTGGAAGATTTGGAAGTAGCAGCAGCTATATTTAAATTTTTGCATATGGTCAAAAGGTTAAATTACCTATTTATATTTTTGTTTGTTTAAAATACAATCATTTCACCCTGTCTTTAGTTTCTGTGAGGTAGGCTAGAACCAGAACAAGCTACAGCTGATAAAGACCAGGTGAAAGTAGACTGAGGTGGTATAGAATGTTACGTTTTTGACTCTGGGATTCATGTTCTATATATTGCTCTAATCTTATGTCCTTCAACTGTTTATTTATGCTTATTTATTCTAAACTGAAGTGCTTTCTGAATATTGCATTTCTGCTTAGATTTAGTTAATTGGGGGCACTTTATCTGATCTAAAGTAGGTAGGAATAAAAATTTGCCATGACAATATCAGTATATCGGTATACGCCTATTTAATTCTTTGCTTTTGCAAATTCTCAGCTGGTCATTCATGGCCTGGCAGACACAAATCTAGCTTAATTCAGAGGTGTCCAGACATTCACTGAGTTTTTCTGAACAGAAAAATTTTATTTTTCTTCCTTATATTCACATCTGTTCTACCTGCAGTTTTGTCAATGTTAGCTTTATAAGGTGGAAACATTTGCTCTCTTGAAACTTTCCATCTGGTTTAATATTAAAATACTATTAAGTATTTTCATTGTCCAACGTTGCTTTCTTTAATTTCTTGTTCTTAAGTATATTACCTGAAGAATATTATTTGGTTATTGTCCACTAGGGAAATAATCATATTGAATGTCTATAGTTTGACCCATATTTTGTGTTTTTTATCTGCTTATATGAAAAACCACAAGAATGAAAAGGGGCATCCAAATGTTTACCCAGATTAAACCTGTCTGTCTATAAGCAGTGCTGCCAGATATGTTCTTTCAGTATTGAAGCATTTATCTGAATCCCTTCAAACCCTGGCAGTGACCACCAAATTCAGAACCATAAAGACCATGGTTCTCCCCTGCAGAATTTAGCGTAAAGGGCCGTTACACTAAAAGTTTTTAAAAATTAGACCCATGGTAAAGAGCGTAACGCCTGCAGAAACAGTCATTTTATACATTTACCTTTACACATATACCTGAGAAACCTGTCTGATTGAGGATCTCAAGATACTGTTATGAAAACATTTAGACCCCTGCTTGCCCTACATAATTCATATTTTGTCATCATCTCTCACTGAGTCATGTGCGCTCCCTCCAGCAGAAAGAGAGAGTGCAGCAATTAAAGGAAAGGGTGGAAAGGCCATAGACAGGTTCTAAAGGATTCCCAAACAGCTGGCCTGTCAAGTTGAACCAGCCGGTGGTCAGTGTTTTCTTCTACCCCATAAAAAGTATCATCAGTGCTGGGCCAGTGTGTAGCTGCTCCCAACTCAGAGCTGCAAGTAGTGTCTAACTGGGTCAATCTGATATTTTGCATTTTTGGGGAAGGTATGTTCGGGCCCTCCCTATATGAAGCCAACAAATGGCTATAAAAAAGAAAGGAGAAAGGGATGGGTGAGGAAGCGCAGAAGAAAAAAAATATTTTAAGTCCATTTTCTTTAGCAACTCCCCCACACTCTCAGAATATCCTGCTTAGATCCCTAAAGACAGTGAGAGTATAATGTTTACATCAAATATAAAACCAGCTTCACCGTTACAGTATACTCTCCCCCTGTCTGTCTTCTATTTTTTTTTTTTATCTAAGCATCTGAGTCCTTATGTTCAAAACATGATTGATAATAGAAAACAATCCATCAAGCAAAAGCATTTTGATAGCACAAAACACAATCCAGCAGCTTGCCAAATGATGGGTTATAGATATGTTATTAAAAATGGCATTTAATTGATATCTTGATATTCTCATCTAATTTATATAATGCTTGTTTTACAGGCAACAATCGGTATTGACTTTTTGTCAAAAACCATGTACCTAGAAGATCGTACGGTAAGCCATTGTTTTGTGTTGCATTCGTCGCACCCATAGGTACTTATTAAACTCCTAGGAAGCATGCATCTGCTTTCTATTTAGTAGCCACAATTTATTCCATCTCATCATTTCACATTTTGGTATTACACTGTCCTAGATTTTTGTCATTCATTTTCATTATAAAAAAAAAAATATGCTCATATTTTTATTTCCCATCATTACTGTTACATTTTTTGTTTCCTTTCCATCCCCCCTGGCTTGATCATGAAATCCCCCCCACAAACATGGTCCCACATTTGTATCACGGCTGGCCACAGATTCGGCTGCAGCTCTGGGACACAGCCGGACAAGAACGTTTCCGCAGCCTCATCCCCAGTTACATCCGCGACTCAGCTGCCGCTGTGGTGGTTTATGACATAGCCAGTAGGTATCATGGCCTTGCCTCTTTCATTGTCCTTCGCTTATGACATGGAAGGGCAAAAAAATCCCAGCATTTGGCAGAGTAACAAACTTACTTCAAGGCTGCATGATGAGACTGTTTGCATCAGCTGTGGTTATTCTAAAGTGAAGCCTCTGACAGTAACCGGGAGCACCTGTGCTGTCTTTAATAAGGCTGATAGAATAAATGTCTATCAGCATCACTTTATGTGCTGAGATTACTTGAAACTACTATAAGAATGATCTCATAGGGTCTTCTCTCACACGTCTTGAATGCATAACAGTCATCTCAGAGCTTTCTGCACCTAAACTATTCAAAGCTGCTGCTCTATTTTTTTTTTTCTTTGCTGCTTTGCTTGCAGATCTTTAAAATCAGTCCTCTCTTCTTTCTTTTCTTCCAATGCCTTCCTTTATTCTTTACTCTTATTGTCCTCTTCTCCTGGTATTCCAATCCTCAGGTCCGGCTCCAGCTGTGGGACACTGCTGGACAGGAGCGCTTTCGTAGCCTAATTCCCAGCTACATCCGTGACTCTACCATTGCTGTGGTTGTTTATGACATCACCAGTGAGTCAGGGCTGTGCTTTTAACTTCCTGTTGGGGCCGAGAGCAATTGGAAGGAAACTTTTTGCAATTTATCTGTCCTGAATTCTGCAATATTTTCAGAACTCTCTGTGTATTTTCACTCTGTAGAACATTTCTGCTTACTAACATGATTTCCAGCTTGCATAAAAAAAATCTTCCTTTGTTTTGAAGTGAAGCACCAGCCAATGCTTAGTTTTGATACAGTGCCTTGCTAAAGTATTCGGCCCCCTTGAACTTTTCGAACTTTTGCTACATTTCAGGCTTCAAACATAAATATCACTTGTAATTTTTTTGTCCACAACAAAGTGGGATGCAATCATGAAGTGGAGCGAAATTTATTGAATATTTTAAACTTTAAAAAACAAAAAAACGAAGACTTGCAAAATGAATCGGCCCTTTTTAGTGCATCGAACTCTCTCCAGAAGTTCAGTGAGGATCAATGAATGATCCAATGTTAAAATAAATCATTAATAGATTCCACCTGTGTGTAATCAAGTCTCCGTATAAATGCTCGATTATGAAAAACAAAGATGCATACCAGGCAGGTCCGAGATACTGTTGTGGAGAAGTTTAAATAAGACCACTGTGAATCCGCCCCTCTAAACTTTTGGATCAAACAAGGAGACTGATCAGATATGCAGCCGAGGGGCCCATGATCACTCTTGTTGAACTAGATTTACAGCTGAGGTGGGAGACCATAGGACACCAATCAGTCGTATACTGCATAAATCTGGCCTTTATGGAAGAAAGCCATTTCTCAAAGATATCCATAAAAAGTCTCATTAAAATTTTGACACAAGCCATCTGAGAGACAAAGCCAACACGTGGAAGAAGGTGCTCTGGTCAGATGAAACCAAAATCAAACTTTTTTTGGCAATAATGCAAAACGTTGTTTGGCATAAAAGCAACACCGCTTATCACCCTGAACACCCCTACATCCCTGATTTCAAACATGGTGGTAGTAGCATCATGGTTTGGGCCTGCTTTCTTCATCTTCAGCAGGGACAGGGAGGATGGTTAAAATTGATGGGAAACTGGATGGAGCCAAAAACAGGACCATTCTGGAATAAAAACCTGTTAGTCTGCAAAGCACCTGAGACTGGGACAGAGATTTATCTTCCAACAAGACAATGACTCAAAACAGAAAGCAAAATCTACAATGGAATGCTTCACAAATAAACATAGCCAGGTGTTAGAATGGCAAAGTCAAAGATCAGACATTAATCTAATTGAGAATCTGTTGAAAGAAATGAAATCTGCTGTTCACTAAAGCTCTCCATCCAACCACACTGAGCTCCGGCTGTTTTGTAAAGAAGAAAGGGCAAAAATGTCCGTGTCTCAATGAGCAAAACTGATAGACATACCCGAAGCAACTTGCAGCTGTAATCGCAGCAAAAGGGGGCGCTACAGAGTATTAACTAAAGGGGGCTGAATACATTTGCACACCCATTTTTTTTTTTGTTGTTGTTTAAAAGTTTAATATATCCAATAAATTTCCTTCCGCTTCATGATTGTGTCCCACTTGTTGATTCTTCACAAAAAATTTCAATTTCATATATTCATGTTTGACACCTGAAAAGTGGCAACAAGTTCAAGGGGGCCTACTACTTTCGCAAAGCACTATGTGTGTTAGAACGAGCCTTATTGCTTTGAGGTTTATAGCAGCAAATGTCAGCAGTAACTTCTTTGTTTTTATTTGCAGATCTTAATTCTTTCCAGCAAACCTCGAAATGGATTGACGATGTGAGGACAGAGAGGGGAAGTGATGTAATTATTATGCTTGTCGGGAACAAAACAGACTTGGCAGATAAAAGGTAGAGAATTATTTATGGTTGTACAAGAATTGTATTTAGTCATTACTAAAAAACATGCATGGTATTTTTTTTCATTCTGCAAGTGTATCTCATTGAGATCGATATGTTTCAGGAATTAAAATATAACCCTGCTTAGTTTTTAGATTCATTTTACAGAGTGATATATTTCACATATTTGTTATTTTTTGTGATCAAGGCTGGCAGTTAATTGAAACCCTAAAGTTTTAGCTTTTTTTGTCTGACATCAGTGAGATTTTTGTAATTATTTTATGTTTTCCTGTGACAACACCGAAGATAAACCCCTTAAACATTCAGTGCACAGCTTGTATAACAACATAGTTTCATATCCATTCAAAATAACTCCTCACTTGGCCATTAAGCTTTAAGATGCTGGTGGGAAAAGTAAGTACACCCTTAGTATAAAAAAAAAAATAAATAAAATCCAAATTGTGCCCATGTGTTGTGTGACCACAATGAATAGACGTCACTTAACAGTTTTCTACATGCTGGGTATCTGTGTTGCTTATGTAGCTTTCCTTGCCACACTTCCCATGAATAAGTTTGGATATATCAGTCTATAAATAGAAATAAAAATAGATGGTTTGTTTTAGGAAGTATAGAATAGCCCCAAAAATCTGTCTCTATGGCATCCTCCACCCGATTGCTCTTTAAGGCTGTTAAGGAAGCAGAGGATCTCCATCACATTTCATTTTTATGTAGAGTTCTACCCTTCTCATCAAAAGTAAAACAAGTATTTGAATTACATCACTCTGTGTGATTTATTTGCATAGTGAGAAGTTTTACTGAATTACTGCAAGAGAAGACATTTTTATTTAGATTTTTAATTATTTGAGAGCAGGTCGTATAGCTAAAAGGAAAATGTGAGGTGTTGAGTTCTGCAGTAGATGAACCAAAGCCTGGGATCCCTGCATTCATCCCTTTAGTGCATTCTCACCCAGTTCTGGCTTCATTGTTGTGTTTCCCTTTTTATTGCTGTTCAAGAACTTTTTTATTTTTTTTTTTGCGAACACATTTGTGTTTCCCTTTCATTGTTATCCTTATGAATTCCCAGTCTGGTATGCTTTAATTTTTATTTTATTTTTTGTTGTCATTTTGATTTGATTATTTATTTTGTGCATGTTTATCCTTCATCTCTCCTCTCCACCGTATTTTTGCCTCCCTCCCCCCCTCTCTCCCTGGGACCATGGTAGGCAGGTTTCTGTTGAGGCGGCAGAGAGGAAAGCTCGTGAGCTCAATGTGATGTACATAGAAACCAGTGCCAAGGCGGGTTATAACGTCAAGCAGGTTGGTGTTCAGCAGCTTCCGGTGTAACTGTTATTTACTGCAGGGGTCATAATTCTAAATAGGCCAGTGAGAAAAGCCAGGTTGTGAAGCCCTCCTTTTTGTGTACACCATAAATGTTTAACTTTATAATCACAAAGTTGATTTTCTTCTCTTTGGTCTTTACTCAACATAGTAGCCTGACTTCTTTTGTCTGTTCGTCTCCCAGCTGTGAACTAATCCCTCATGTTGAGCTCTTCTTTTCTCTTTTTCATTCCTTTTCCTTTTTGGTTCTTCCTCTTTGCGACCTTTCTTTTCTATATCTTTCTTTGTCCAACGCCCGCCTCTGCTTCTGCCGGAGCAGACAGATCACCACGGAGGAGGGTGAGCAGAGGGCTAAGGAACTGAATGTCATGTTCATTGAAACCAGCGCAAAGACTGGCTACAATGTCAAACAGGTAGCATATCTGTGTCTTGAGGCTAGTTCTGTTTTCTCAATCAACATTTAACTCCTCCCCTTGTTTCCGTCTTATTCTGCATCTTGACTTGTCTTTATCATGCAAAACCTGTGACTTTGTATCTGTCTGCCGTTTCGCATTTAGAGGCACTGCCAACATTTTTGTTCTTCCACACAGTTGCACTGATACTTTGGTATTTTTGCATGTTTGAAGCCTCTTAAAAACATTTTTAAGAAGATTTCTCAGAATTAAGATTTTAGCAGACATTTTCGTCTTGGTGTTTAGATTATGTATTCTTAAATTTTTAGTTTATGTGAAATTCTTTCACATTGATAAAACATCAACTTATTCTGACCACAAATACTAAGTCGCTAGAAAGAAATTAAAAAACTTAAATCGGTTAAATTTGAATCGTGTCCTGGATTTCTCGCATCCTAAATGTTCTTTATTGCTGTGTAGTAGCACGTTTTGTAGGTAATACATCTTTTTAATGTGATTGTATGATCTAGAAATTGCTTCACCATTTGTTGTATTTATGCAGCTGGATTTATTTTGTTTTTATGTAATGTGAACCATTGTCTATAAAGATGATTTACTGAAATGGAACATAAAAGACCTTTTTTTTGGAAGGGAAAAAACTTTCTTTTTTACATGTTACAGAAAGCTCAACGTGTGATCTAAGCATAATGGTACTTTAAAAATGTTTTAACTGAGATATACTTCACTGTTGAACTATTTTCTAATTTGTTATAAACTGATGTAAAAAATATATGTCGATTTGATCCTTTTAGTCTGACCTGTGTATTTATTTTTTATTTAACCTGGTAGCTAAGGTTGGACATTTGGGAAAACATGAGACTTTTTTTTTTTTTTTTTTTTTTTAAACATACAAATAATTCTGATTAAATTCCTCTGTTTGTTCAACACACACCCATATATATATATATATATATATATATATATATATATATATATATATATATATATATATATATATATAGCAATTGTCAGAGGTTTTGGCAGTTTATAGATTTAGATATGAATAGAGTAGGGAATGTCTTAAACCTGTGATTAAGGTGATTTGTTGTTAAAGTTTTTCTTGTTGTTTCATAGCTGTTCCGACGTGTTGCTGCTGCGTTACCTGGGATGGACAGCACACCGGAGAAAAGCAAAGAGGACAGTATCCTTTTGTGTTAATTTAAATTGAAATGTAGTTTTCTGAGAACATAAAAATGTTGATTGTTTCCATTTGATTGCTCTTGTTCAGTGTAGTATCATAAAAGCCTTGCTGCAGAGTTAGGCTCAAAACTCAGCACTTTAGAGCTTTAAAACTTATTTGGAATCTTGAACCTCTTTAAGAATTTTATTTTGAAAAAATTCTTAGATGCTATTTCTTTTTGCTGCTATATGTATGTCTATTGATAACTAGAAACTTGGTTTGCAGTTTTATTTTAGTAGAAATGTGCAAACTCATTTTGGAAGAAGAAATGAATCAGCAGAAGTTCAGAAAGCACCCTGAAAACAACTTTTTAAAAACCCAAGGCTTTTATTTTAAGGACTTTCAACGAAAAGAAGTTTAAGAGTTCAAATTAATCTTTCCAATCGCTGCTGTAGGGCCATCAGGGTGTTCTATACCTAATCTTACCCAGTTTATAGAAATCCTCTTTTAATTTGTAAGCTTTATTTGGAAAGCCTTCCAAAAATCATTGATGAAAGCCAATTAGGAATTTGGATAGTGCTGTAATATTAACAGTAAATAGGACTCATCTGTTCTTACCACATTAGTGAGCTTTGCACCAACAGTATGTTCTGTTTTTTTGCATCTCATAGCTGAGGGATTCTTGAGGTCATTATTGCTTAACTCTGCTTCTCCCAGTGATCGACATCAAATTGGAGAATAAGCCAGAGATGACTGTTACCGAGAGCAGCTGTTCATGCTAGTACACCTCGGCCCCACCCAGCCTGTTTCCTCCCCACCAACAGCTTGTCTCTCAGTGGCCACTCTCCACCCATGGCAGCCTGCCACTGGGATGGAGGACCTATCTTTATTGAGGTTCTTTGTTTTGTTTTCCTTCCCTTCTTAACTCAGTGACTTTTCAAAGTAACCGTGTGGATGTGCATTACTGTATTGAATCTGATTATCTTTGGGAAAATAGTTGAGAAACAAACATTTAAAAACAACAAAATAATTTAAACATGTTCAGATTTTCATTCAGTTGCATGACATTATATAAGACTGCAGACTGACGAAGCGAACCACGTCGGGTTTATGCACAGTGCAGGATCTTAGTGCTGTTTCTCTTGTTGTAAAGGTAACATGCTTTCGAATATTTAAATGACTGCAAGGGTTAATTCTTAATTCAATAATGTTTTATCTTGGACGCCTCATTTGTCATATTTCCTATTATATTTTAAGGAAGTAGAAACCCACCCTTATATCATCTTAAAGCCATGATGATATATTTAGCTAAAACGAGTCTTTTACATTTAAGCAGAGGAACTGTTCTCTCCTTTATATTCATCCTTAGAGTTAAGTTGCCAAATTCATCAGTTGTGACCAAATTAGGAAAACAGCAGTGCTGGAAAAGGATGAGTAAAATGAAACAAGAGTTTAATGAAAGGGATTTTTTTTAGGTTACTAACCCTAAGCTCTGCATTAAAACTATCAGCTTTAAATGTTAAATTCGCTGCCCGCATACTAACATATCTGAGGAAGATGGTGGTCGTGATGTGAGGCAGCCCTCCACGTCATCGATAGTTTGTGTTGTGCTGATCACACTGTTGTAAGAACATGCAGCATGCTAACCATGCAGGATTTCTACGGATAAGAACACAGATGCCTTTGCTTGTTTGTTCACCATGTTGTGCACTGAATCAAGCCACAATATTGTAAATTATCAGAGGAGCCCGTTGACTGGTTCATGGCTTCACTAGTTGTCTTTGTAGAGCTGTTAGTCAGGTAGAAGTCCTCAGATAACGGCTAAAGCTTACTAACACCCTCACTGTAAAAAGAGAAATGTGCAGAGAAGTTAGCTGCAGCATCTTTAATTGTGTTGCTATTGCCTGCGTAGGACCGTTGTTTTTATGCATTTATTTATTTTGTAACTTGGACTTAACAGCTGACCTTCTTGAGCTTGACCAAAAGTACTGCCACGCATGTTGGAAGTTTATTTATTGTGTGTGTTCGCTAGAGCTCTACGTAAAGGTGACTGTTTTTTGTTGTTTTTTTTTTAACCTGGCAGCGCTTTCCCTCCTGTGCACTCTGTAGCTATACAGTCACAGGTGAAGTCAGCAACACACACAGTCTTAACACAATAAAATAAACTAGACGGAGCACAAAAAAAGATAAAAGGTCATTGGATGTTGCTTGTTTAAGAATGTGGGCGTTTTGAAATGGTCTCTAAGGTTTGAGTGTTTATTTACTTCACGAACAAACAGTTTATCTTGACCCGCTCTTCTATTACTTGTCACTGACTACATACTTAGCTTTGTGCTATTCTGAAATGTGTATGTTCGATTTGAAATCTGATGTCTACTCGTGTTTAGCAACGGTTGTGTGAATAATGTACTATTACTTATCTTATGTATAAAAAGGAGAGTTAATGAAACACAAGTGTAGGCATATCACGTGGAATAAAATAAAAATATTTCACCCAAATGTTAGGAATTTGTGATTTATGTTTTCATAACCACTTGATGATGACACATTCGTTATTTTCTGATTTCATCTCCAGGGTACAAATTGTTGCACCTTAAATGACTGAAAAACCTGTTCTGTAAGGGTGTGTGACGCACATAGTGGAAACTACTCATCACATCAATAGCACAGAGTTTTACAACACAGAGGTGTGGCTAAATATTAACATGAGCTTCCCTCTGTTCCCAATGAATTTGAATTGTTGGTGTCTACCTGTGTTTGATGAAAATCTAGGATCAACACGCCTATTTGAGGACCATTAAAAGGTGCAGTTTGAAGTCAGTGGGTTGGAAAACATGAGAACCAGTAGATGATTCAATTAAAAAGGTTACATTTTTATATATTTGTACTTACTATAAATTTAAAAAATATTGTAAATTGGGGTTGAAATACACAAAGCTCCACTTTCTAATGCCCTTAAAATGGTACTAAAAATCTCCTTAAGAAGTAAACAAATTTTTAATATACAGTTAACCTGTAAAGACCCCAAAGGAAGGTCGTCATGGAAAATCATCAGACACAGAGGATAAGGTTGTGGTTTTTAAAGCATGAGCCAGTTCTAAAGAAGTATTGCAAGTTTTGAATCTATTGAGTGTGGGAAGATTATGTCAAGTGTACAAATCTACCAAGGAGTGGCCAGCCTGCTCAATGTCCTGACTGGGCAAGGAGAGCACAAAGCAGATTAAGAAGGCTATAGTTACTTTGGAGGAGATGTAGAGGAGATATGACATTTACTGACAAGATTACACATTGAGCTTACAACTCATAAATACGTAAAAAGTTTTTTTTTTTCTGCAATTAGTCACAGAATATAGGAAGTGCAGTAAACCTATGTGTAGTTACACAATCATTTTCATTCTAAATAAAAGTTGCTGACTAAGCCTGATATTTTTGTGTGTGTGTGTGTTTGGGACAGGGAGGTTCCTGACAGAGGTGAGATGTTGCTAAATATAAGGCAATAATGAGGCAAAATGTTAAAGCTGCAAATGGTTCCCTTCCTGCAAATTAACAACCAGAGCCAAACAAATGCCTTTAGAGATAATCTCCATCCAATTATATCGCTCTTGATCTATTTTGCAGAGCAAAATGGTCAGAGCTAGTTTATAAAACCAGAGCTGCAAGTCCCTTTGGAAATGTATAAAGCGTTAAATCTGTGATCAGAATTCCAATACATGTTAAGTTATGATTGTTTTCTTCCCTTTTCACCTGCCAGCAATGGTCTATGTTGGTTGTGTCATCTAAAAAACTTAAAGAACAAATGCACTTTATGGTTGCAATAAACAATGTTAAAAGGTTTGGTTCAGGAATAATGTAAACATTGTTTTTTTGCAAGGTAATCTAGCACAGTTGAAATTGTTTCAGTTATATCAAACTTGACAGTCATACATTCAGATCAAGTTTCAGTTTTGTTTGATATACTATATGTTATGGTAAGAACTTGGATAAAAAGTACCCTCACTGCATATGTTTAGAGCTTTTCTATTATTCATTATAAAATCATAGATTTTAAAGCTTTAACGGAAAGAGTCCCACTGACATGTTCTAAGCTGATATATTTTCCATTAGCATACTGATGTTATTTGTCCCATCAATTTCTGCAAAAGGTTCAATTGATAAGACGGTATATAAAAACACAACATGATCCTTGTACCCTCTGTGGAGTTGATAACCATAGCTGTGATGTGTAAAGCTTGCCCATGACCTGCATGCATGGGTCACGTTAATGTCGTCAGGACAGCAGAGTTCAGTTCAGTTTGCTACAGAGCCAAGCTGACCGGTCCAGTTCTTGTTCTGCATCTGAGCAGCGCTCCCACAGGAGAACCCAACAATGCTCCCAATTGTTTCGCAACATTTAAGGTGTGTCTTTAGCTCCAATTAGAACAACTAAAGTAATTGATTTACCTGTGACCAAGTGAACTGCCTCTTATTGAGCTATTAATCATAATCAGGGAAGTATGCAAGAATAAAACATTTGAATCTTAAGAGTCATCTCAAAGTGGATTGCATTGATTGAGTTACAATAATAAGTTTAAAGCATTTAAACGCTATCACTTAGTTCAGCCTGCTGCCTTTTTAAAGAAACTGAGGCTTGAGGGAGTGGAAAATGACCAAGCAAGTACAATAACTTATCAGGAAGCGAAGTTATCATTAAGCAGTTATAAAGCTTTATTTCAAAAGATACTAAAACGTAGCAACAATAAAAGAACAGGGCTCTGTGGCTCTACTACGGATACAAAGTGAGGCAAATGTTTTTAACTTAAAAGTCTGACTAAGGTTTATCTTTTTCTAGGTCATCGGACTCCTTATCTCCACTGAACTAAACAGACCATCCTGGGCTGCAGACTAATTTGACCTCCTGACTGCGTTCACAAATCTGGACTTCTGATTTTAATGATTGTCTGCAGGGATAACCATCAATATGAGTGTATTAATTGATCTAAAATCACAGCACTCAGTCCATTTTTTCCTATATGTGGGCATAGTACTTTAGCTGTACATTGTTTTACTCAAGAAAAAGTAGAGAGTAGTCATCGAAGAAATAACCCAAATAAGAGTAAAAAGTAATTGGTAAAATGGCTACACCGGTAGTGAGTAATAGCTGAAAGTAACATCAACTTTAATATGATGTAATCAGTCATCAGAGTTCATTTGTAAATTCCGATAGCTAACATATTAGTCATAACCTCCACAGATCAGAGGTATGAGGGAAGCCATGAGGAGTTCTGTTTGCAGTTTCTCAAAGAGCCGTGTAAGGAGATGGTAAACATTGAAGAAACGCTTCTTGGCAGGTGAGGGGAAACCCAAATCTGCCTGCTTGTTGAAGCACTCCACATCCTGATGGTGAAACATGGTGGTGGCAGCATCATGTTTTAGAGATGTTTGTATTTCCTGGAGAAAAGGGAAGCTTATAAAACTAAATCCTGGAAGAAAAGCTTCTAAAACAGGGGTGTCTAATTATGGGTACGTGTCAATTTGCATGAATATTTCATTGCACTAGTTCTAAAGATGAGACTGAAAAATGTAGAGGAGACTAGAAATTGAAGACTGGAATTTGACCCCAGTTCCTTTCAAGCGACTGAGGCGTTGGTTCACTATCTAACACGGCAACACCTCTTAAACAGCCAGAGCAGAATGATTTAGATTGGTCATTAGGAAATATATTATTGTGAGTCACTGTACAACTGAAAGATGGAGGAGTAGCTTATCATTACACTTTAACCATCCTGTTTTACTCTACAAAAGAGAATTTTATGAGACTAATAATTGATGGCTATAGAAGATTTAACCAGGCGTATTAACTTGTAAGCATAATAGGTACATTCTAACTACAACTACTCCTTTACTTTAATTAAAACATTTAACAGAATACATTGATTCGGTCACTGTTATCCTTGTTTGTCATGTGTAGTTTCTAGCATGTTATGATTGGGCTGTTATATTTACATAGGATAATTTTTAAAAAAGGATGCAACTTGTATCAATGTTCCTTTGTTAAAGGAATGGTTGCTGAGCTTCTTTGGCCCACGGGAGTTTTGCCTCTGGCTATGTGGCTTCATGCTCTGCTTATTTTTATTGACTGTTCTTAGAATCCATACTAAATTTGGTAAAAGAGTATTTCATTTTCCAGCACCATATGCTTGAAATTTGCTTCAGAAGGAACTTCTGCTCTATTTTTATTGATTTTTTTAGCAGAAACAAATTCTATATTTTTGGTGGTTTTATTTACTGATGTCATTGATATTGTACTGTGCTTCTTGTATCTAACCCTTTAACCATATCATTGTCAGGAAAACCTTTCAAAATAAATCTTTGATGATGGAACTGTATAGATTTAAGGTATTTTTTTTCACATTGCAGGAGTGTGGCAGTTGCTGCTGTATAATACCTGCAGGTTTGAGCAGTTTTTCAGATTTTTTAGCAGATGGTATAGTTGCATTGGATGTACCAGTAATATTTGTTATGCATTTTTCTTGTGATTTATTTCTTTATAAGGAATCTTTTTATTCTGATGGTTTAAGTGAAGGGCCGACACACGGCATAAGAAAACCAGGCGACCGCTTAGGCCTCCAAGAATAATTAGTTGTTTTTTAGCCAGTATAATAATTTCTATAGAAATTACAGTGACAGAAAGACACAATTTCATGCGAAGATTTTCACATTTTTTTTACACCAGTATATCTCTGATCATGTGCAAATCATCCCGTACATAAAAAATATTGGTGTTTGGGCCAGACTGACACAAAGACGGACCAGAGTAAACTTCTCTTTTGATAGCGGCCTGAAAGTGATGAGAGAGCACTGGCCTCAGAGATGGAAACCCTTCCAGAGATCCTAAAGCACATTTTACCTCATTTACTCTCTTACTTCTCTACCCAAATCTTTGGGTTACTTCTTTGGAGGATCTGCACTCTCCCTGTAACTGCTGCAGCTACAACGTTGAGCTTTTTTTTAACCTCAAAGTTATCAAGAACTCCTCTGCAGAAGGATGAAAAATCAGTGGTAAGTAACAAAGACAAAGAAAAGCTGTCTTTTAAAGGATCTATTATAGTGATGTAATTTACTTTGCAAAGTCATATATGTGGGTAAAAGTAGTTTTCATTGTAGTTTCAGGTAGTTTGTTTAAATAGCTAATGAGAACTAATTATTAAACGTTGCATTTCTTTTTCTACCTGGCTGCAAGTAACTTTTTATCTCTTGTGCTGGCCCTGTAAGTACAGGACTGGATTTGGACAGTATAGTATGTGGCCACCGGTCCTGGTGCTATCCTCCTTCTGTTAATCCATCATTCTAAAGATTGTTTAAAGATTAGATTAGATTAGATTCAAAATCTAATCTAATCTTTAAAGAATCTTTAGAATGATGGATTAACAGAAGGAGGATAGCATCAGGACCGGTGTCCACATCCATAAACATGTCATCAATGAAATTATTTCTCCAACTTCAAAGAAAAAT